GTTCCCCCATGGTGGGTAAGGGGGACAGGGTTCCCCCATGGTGGGTAAGGGGGGCAGGGTTCCCCCATGGTGGGTACGGGGGACAGGGTTCCCCCATGGTGGGTACGGGGGACAGGGTTCCCCCATGGTGGGTAAGGGGGACAGGGTTCCCCCATGGTGGGTAAGGGGGGCAGGGTTCCCCCATGGTGGGTAAGGGGCATGTTTCTTCTTCATGCCTCAAATAGATAGATATTTTACATAAAAAACAAGGGCTTTATAATGTGGATTTATTTAATATCAGACTGAGTAGGGGTGGATTAATCTCTTTAAGTAGTGCTGTACCCGTTTGTGGTTTGCTGCTAGAGGCACACCAGAAACATCCACCCCATACTGAAAACACAGGTTACTATTGTTGACAACAGCGGAGACAGAGAAAGCCTACTTCCCTTCCCTAAGGGTTGTCCAAACAACAAACACTGTCCCACCCGTAAACCTAACCTCTTTACTGGATACTGACTTGCTGTAGGTTGATGAAGAGTGACGCTGCGGTGCCTGTCAGCATGTCCAACATACTGAAGACCAAAATCTATGGCACACATGTGCCTCACATATTTAAATCTGTGAGTTTATCAATTGTCTGTTGAGTTTGTTGTATGTAGGCGATACAGAAACAATGGTGATAGGAAGCTAAAGGGTAATATAAACAGTGTTAAAACTTGCACACAGACACTATCCACGCCTTGAGTTCTCCACCCCCCTCCTTGTCTCTGGTCCATCTGTCTGTCTGGGGGGGGGGGCATTGTTTTTATTTAATTTTATTTAACATTTATTTATCTAGGCAAGTCAGTTAAGAACAAATTCTTATTTACAATGACGGCCAAACACGGACGACGCTGGGCCAATTGTGGGGAACCGCAGTGGAATAAATGCAGTGGAAGGCAGGGGGGCTATGGATGCAGAGAGGAGCAGACTAGCCTGCTGAAGGACTACAGGTATTTAGAGCGAGGGTTAATGTCTGGGGCATTGTTTTGGCTTTCAAAGACACTGGAGAACTTACATCAGCACAATTGCTTTTTACACAGACTTTCTGTCCTTGGTCTGCAGATTGGTTAAAAAGGGTTGGCGGAGTCAGAATAAACCAGAAGGGAGGGCCTAATCTACATAGCCCCTGGTTACAGACTTCATACCCCCTGGTTACAGACTTCATACCCCCTGGTTACAGACTTCATACCCCCTGGTTACAGACTTCCAACTCATAGTGAGTCAGACATGAGTAAATAAAGTGACTGTGGGGTAGGCTAAGTGAATGACTTGTGATGAGACTGCCCGGTTGTAACAGAGCGGGGGGCAGCTGCTTGCAACAGTGCTATCTACTATCCAAATACTCCCCCTACACGTGACGTGCGCGTAGACACACGCAAACCCCTACTCCATATTGTCCCTCCTATAAAGAATCAAATTAGCTGTGATATTCTTGTTGCTCCCTATAAGGAGACTGCAGTCCAGTGACAGATGCTGCCATTAACGGGCCACACAGTAAAAAAAAATATAACATCACACTGGAGGTTTGCCTAATTACTGCAGCAGCCAATTGAGCCTCAACCCTTCTGTGTCATCTAAATTAGATCACTTTCAAATAGATGCCAGTCATGTAATTATATCTGCCAGCATTAACTACACTATATAGAATATAGCTAAATATAACATTTGAGGAGGGGCTATCAAGTCACCAATGCACTACAGTACGTGAACAAGAAAACATACATTTAACATTTAAGCCATTGAGCAGACGCTCTTATCCAGAGAGACATACAGGGGTGGCAGGTAGCTTAGTGGTTAAGAACGTTGTGCCAGAAACCGAAAGGTCGCTGGTTCTAATCCCCAAGCCGACTAGGTGAAAAATCTGTCGATGTGCCCTTGAGCAAGGCACTTAACCCTAATTGCTCCTGTAAGTCGCGTCTGCTAAATTACTAAAATATAATGTAATTAGGGTTAAGTGCCTTGCGCAAGGGCACGATGGCAGATTTTTCACCTAGTCGGCTCAGGGATTCGAACCAGCAACCTTTCAGTTACTGGCCCAACGCTCTTAACCGCTAGGCTACCTAGATTAGTCGCCGTTTAGGTTAAGCTACATTTAAGCACAGGTGAACTGCAGGCCACCAAGCTTTCTCCTTGGCATTGAGAACATCCCCAAAATACACACTTCACCATGCAGTTGAGATTCTTATCACATTAGTTGATGATAAGAGGAAAGTGGAACTCAGGGAATGAACCAAAGAGACCCAGAGAACTGGATTCATAGAATCAGAATTCAGAATTCTATTAATTCTAAACTCTATTAATTCTGATTCTATGACTGGCTGGTCTTACCTTGATGCGGAGGGACTGATGGATATCCCCTGCTAGCTGTCCTTTCCACCATTGTAACTCCCTTTCCATCTTTCCCATTCAGAGAAGGCCACAAGGATGAAGTTCAACCCTGCAGACACACAGAAATATGGGCTAAGTCAAGAGACATCCTGTTATGGTTGTTGGTGTCTGATCACAACTTAAAGTATTTGATATCAAAGGACAAGGACTTCTGGAATAAGTTGTTTAAACAAAATTGTAATATCCTTTATTCATACAGGTGATTAAAAATATATTGTATAAGAGAGATGAAGTTCCAGCCAATGAACAAATAAGTGTTGATTTCTAGCAAAAAATATTTTCTATTCATTTGCACTATGAATTTATAACAAATCAAATTGTAGAGATGAGTGGGTTATGGGGGGGAAGTGACATGCCTTTGATATTAATTAAGCGATCAATTGAAATCGATTGCTGTTAACGATCAGCATTTAATCAAATAAACCACTTAAATAATAAAACACATCCAATAGCCTTTCGAAATGTTTACAATGCAATATTCTGGGAAAACTATTGAAAATAGTCGGCTGCTGTTTTGTAAGCTTAAACATTTCATTGAGTTCATTTCCTCCATGTGTTCAGTAAACATTGGTCACTGGCACCGCATAGCCCTTGATCATGACTCTCAGTTCCACTGCAATACGCATCAAGGGTCATTTTGTTAAGAGCAGTGACGCTCTGTCTGAACATTAGCCCGCATCGCTTGCTGTACGGTTCTGGAAGCACAATGATCTTATCTTTCATATCTGCGAGAAATATATATATATTTTTTAAAATGTTAAAATTGATACACACCTTTACAGGGTTAGGGTTCCCACACGGCCATATTTCCATGTTACAGCACTTGTTTACGGAAAACAGACGGAAGAGCGAGTGGACTACCTGTGCTAAATAGCTATCTGCATCTCCGAACCTGTTTGTAAACGGAAGACAGACGCCACAAACGTGTCACTGAAAAATACTGTTGGCTGCAACTGTGTTAAAAAACGGTTAAACCCGTGTACACTTTGCATTTGTTAAATGATTTTGATGTGATATGAAAGTACAGGGATTTATGTTTCTAGAACCGTACCCGCAATTGAGAATTGATTTACGTTTGGCTTGAATATTTGATTGAGTTTTGGCTTTCAGAACCAATTCGCCCTTTAAACAGAAAAATGTAAGGTCCTTGGACTAAGGAGTGGCGTTAGGCTCCTTTAGTCCAATATTGGGCTATGGTACTGCACTGCATTCCCCCATGCATGTGGGTGTGATTTAAATGCCCCCTGCAGTGGAAAAAATGATGGGGAATTATAGCACTGGGGTAACAAAGTAACTTTTTTGTAGGCCTAACCACAAATCTGCTAAGAGAAAAAAAAACAATACGTTGATAATGGGAACATTTGTGAAGACTGTTTCTCTCTCATTCAGCGGTGTCAACACCACGAGACGAGAGTTTCTCCAACAGTGTTTTTAACAGAAAAGTAGACAGCTCTTGCGGTTCTAATACTCTTATTTATAGGCCTATACCTCAAACTTAGACAAAGATCGCACCTGACTATTGCCAGCATTAAATCATTCATACACACATTTAATACACTTTTAAATTCGCAAAATGTCCATGATCGCATGTGCCGCTCACCCTCTCCGACATGAATGCCCCCAGACCTCTTTGTTTCACTCCGACATCCTGAATGAGAGAATTCCTCTTTGAGAAGTTTTGTACTATCCTCCGTACCGGCGAAAAGCGATGACGGTTTCCGTTATTCAGTTGACAAAGTAACAATGCTTCAGAGCAGTTTAATTCCGCAATTTTCTCGTCTGTTTCCACTTTTCCAACGATTTTTTTATCCGGCAGTCTCTTTCCAACGGGTTCCCGTTCAACAAAGTGGTTAGCTGCCCCAGCTGCTGTCTACGAGGAGCTCGTGAACCTGCATACGCGAAACACCGAGTGTGAGATGGGAAATGTAGTCCAGAAAACCGTGACTAAAATGGGCTAATTACGGCAATAACTCTTTCTCTAATTGATTTAAATTAAATTAAACACGTCTCTCTTAGATATGAAAAACTTCACAAAAGCTGGCATTTAAAAAAACGGATAGTACTGTAGAGATGATTAAATCAAGTTTTATTGCAAATCACTTTATCAACTTTCTCAAGTGACGTGTGTACAAAACGTTTTCCTTTAACACACTGTAAAATGTACTATAATATGATTTATAACACAAAATAAACAATTTTAACAGAGAGGGATAGTTGCATGTGGGAACATCTCCTTATTGCTGAATATAAACAGCACCAAAAATTCTGAAAATAAAATCCTTTCACTCATTTCCCTCCACCATTAACAATCCAATCAGCCATAACGTGCACTGCAATTCCGTTTATAAATACTAGCTGGGCAACAGATGACTCAGCGCCATCTGGTGTCAATGTAGGGCATAGCTTTTTCAATAATATGCAAAGATAATACAGTAGGCCTATTACAAATTCACTTTTTTAGAGAACATTTTATCATTGACCAAAACTGAGTATAAATAGGCTGAGCTATGATTGCAATGATAACTAACAGACATCATTTTCTTCCCAAATGGGCAAGGAAGCAAAAACTGGTGCCATCTTAGTTCAACCCATCAGGATGAAGGCGATGAATCCTCATTGGCTTTCCTGTCCGCCTCGTTCACATACTCCTGGTCTGCGTAGATCAGGAACCCGGTAAACAGACTATCTGTCCAGAACGGGTCATAGAACAGCCCATTCTGTTCTGAGTAGAAGATCTGCAGCCAAACCTGGTCCTGACGCTCTAACCGGAGAACCGTGGAACCGGACGCCACATCGTGGTTCCCAGTGTTGGCGTCAAACGTCTTGATCTTGTACTGCCCGTTGTGCACCAGCCCGATCGCCAAGTGCTTGTTGGCCAGTGTGATGTCATAAGTGAAGTAGTAGACTCCCGGGACAGAGCAGACAAACTTCCCGGTCGTGGCGTTGTAGTGGTTCCCCTCGTTCAGTAGAATACGTTTGAACCGGATCGGGAGACGCTCTTTGGGGTAACTCTTGGTCATGGCTACAGAGAAGGCGGAGCGGGCTGAGTTGGTGCCGCAGTTACAGCCCCCAGGAGCCCCTGTCTCACCCGCGTCCCCCATCTCCCCCTTGATGCCCCCCAGTCCGGCCAGACCTGGGGCCCCACGCGGGCCCTTCAGCCCTCGGGGTCCATGCTTACCCACCACGCCCTCACGACCTTTAACCCCGGGTTTACCTGGGTTCCCGGGCCTGCCCTGTTCACCTAAAGAACAGAAAGAGACAGAGACAGGTCATGGCTAATTCACGTTCATATATTCACACCAGACAGCTCACAATACAGTGTACTGCATAGGAACACAACATTTCAGCTAACACAGGAAGCAATATCAAGGACTACAAGAGTGGTGAAGTGTTTAGCGTGACACGCAACCTTACCTGAGACCTAAAGACTCATGTTAGCTACCAAATGTAATGCCTCTAGGCTTCAGCTCAGTGGGCTAACTAACAGGTAATGCCTATACTGTAGGCTTCAGCTCAGTGGGCTAACTAACAGGTATTGCCTATACTGAAGGCTTCAGCTCAGTGGGCTAACTAACAGGTATTGCCTATACTGAAGGCTTCAGCTCAGTGGGCTAACTAACTCAGCCTTGAGTTGTACTACAGCACTCCGTTTCAGACCCAGGCCAGGCTACTACCTGGATGCTTCCATTATGCTTCTTACCTCTGTCACCCCTCTCCCCCTTCTCTCCCCCTTCCCCCCACCCCTGTGTACCTGTCACCCCTCTCCCCCTTCTCTCCCCCTTCTCCCCACCCCTGTGTACCTGTCACCCCTCTCCCCCTTCTCTCCACCCCTGAGTACCTGTCACCCCTCTCCCCCTTCTCCCCACCCCTGTGTACCTGTCCCCCTCTCCCCCTTCTCCCACCCTGTACCTTCACCCCTCTCCCCCTTCTCCCCCCCTCGCCTCCTCTGTACCTGTCCACCCCTCTCCCCTTTCTCCCCACCCTGTGTACCTGTCCCCCCTCTCCCCCTTCTCTCCCCACCCCTGTGTACCTGTCCCCCCCCTCTCCCCCTTCTCTCCCACCCTGTGCTACCTGTCACCCCTCTCCCCCTTCTCCCCACCCCTGCGTACCTGTCACCCCCTCTCCCCCTTCTCCCCACCATGCTTACCTCTGTCACCCCTCTCCCCACTTCCCTCTACCCTGTACCCCCCCTCTCCCCCTTCTCCCCACCCCTGGTACCTTCACCCCTCTCCCCTTCTCCCCCCCCCTGGTACCTGTCACCCCTCTCCCCCTTCTCTCCCACCCCTGTGTACCTGTCCCCCTCTCCCCCTTCTCCCCACCCCTGGTACCTGTCCCCCCTCTCCCCCTTCTCCCCACCCCTGTGTACCTGTCCCCCCTCTCCCCTTCTCTCCCTTCTCCCCACCCCTGTGTACCTGTCCCCCCTCTCCCCCTTCTCCCCACCCCTGTGTACCTGTCCCCCCTCTCCCCTTCTCCCCACCCCTGTGTACCTTCACCCCCCCCTCTCCCCCCTTCCTCTCCCCCCCTTTTCACCCTGTGTACCTGTCCCCCTCTCCCCCTTCTCCCCACCCCTGTGTACCTGTCACCCCTCTCCCCCTTCTCCCCCCCCCTGAGTACCTGTCACCCCTCTCCCCCTTCTCCCCACCCCTGTGTACCTGTCACCCCTCCCCCCTTCTCCCCACCCCTGTGTACCTGTCCCCCCTCTCCCCCTTCTCCCCACCCCTGTGTACCTGTCACCCCTCTCCCCACCCCTGCGTACCTGTCACCCCTCTCCCCCTTCTCTCCATCATGCTTACCTGTCACCCCTCTCCCCACCCCTGCGTACCTGTCACCCCTCTCCCCCTTCTCTCCACCCCTGCGTACCTGTCACCCCTCTCCCCCTTCTCTCCATCATGCTTACCTCTGTCACCCCTCTCCCCCTTCTCTCCATCCCCCCCATCCAGGCCATCCTTCCCTGGGATACCCATGGAGCCCATTGTCCCTGGAGATCCAGGGGCCCCTGGGTTGCCACCGGGCCCCTGAGGGCCGGGTAGACTACACACCAGCTGGGAGGAATGGATGGTGATGTTGTGGCCCTTCTTGTACGAGGGGTGTGTAGTCTGGAACAGGGACTGGGAGTCAGTGATGGATTGTAAGCATACCATCAGAGACAGCTGGAGCATGGTAGGAGCTGAAAAGGTAAGGGAGGCATTTAGAAATCATCAGTTGGAATGCTGTGGTTGTATAGATCATCGATGCATTACACAGCTGGCTTATAGCCAAAACTGAGATTTCATAAACATTTATGAGGCAGTGTGCTGATAAGGCTAATTTACTCGGCTATACAATTTGATGTTAATTGACATGCATTCAAATGCATAATGTGATGTCTACAAACCAAAACACACGAGTAAACCTTGCTGAAAAATACAGTTGAACAACAAAGTATGTTAGCTATGTCTTCATCAAAATTGCATATCATTGCCTGTTCAACTATAAAACAAAGTGATCTCTCATACATTATGCCATCGTTAGGGAACATGCTGAAAGCATAGAGAAAGAGAAAACATATCGGCTACTCACCAACTGAAGAGGTAAACTTGATAAACAGCAGCATTTTTATGGGTTACCCAACCCTTGAGTTCCAAAGAACGGAAGCGCAATATTACCGCCTACATAATACTCCAATGTCAGGTCGAAATACCATCTTTGACGGGCATTATTGTAAAGAAATCCTGCATATTTGATCCTCAAACGCAAAACATGAACATCCACCCTGTTTCAGCAACAGCTCTCTCTCTGCCAACAAATACTTTCACCATGAGGTAATTCTTTTCAACCAACTCAACAGGATTACCCTCTGACAACCCCAGTAATGTAAATAAATAATGTAAACGAAGTCTAAGATGAAAGCTGAATGTATTGGTTTTGTGGTTTTTCCCCTCACCAGTTTAATGAAATTTAATCTGACACTTGGAGATTCCCTAGGCTCGTGATTGATTGACAGCTCTGGATAGTTGTGCCAAGGGACCAAATTGCGTTAGGGGATGTTTTGATAGGCACTACACCCTCAATTTGTCACCATAACCTGAGAAATCGGGAAAACAAACATCATACAAGGCGGCCCCATGCAAAAACTTGAATTGAGTAGTGCACTATGAGAATTACCAGATGTGTCCAGACAAAGCGCCAAGAACCAGAGAAAACCCATAAAAAATCTCACAGCTGGAAGAATAGGGTGAAGCACTGTGTTTGCAATGCTTCACAAAATAAAACCATGACATAAACTAAAGTTGTGATTAAGCCCTCACAATAATGGAAACAGTTAATGTATAACTATTCCAGAGAGAGATGGGGACCATTGAACAATGACATTTATTGTGGTTTTGTGAATCGGAAGATGATGCATGTAGAGGTGTCTCCCTCGCCCCTGTCCCGTTTTAGGTTCCACTGATGAGACAAGCTCAAACCCAAACCAGACATGGGCCAAGCTAAATATTTTAGCAGCACCCATTTGTCTGCAGTGCTTTGCACTTCTTAGGTACCAAGAGTTTTAAGCCAACTTATTTTCTTTACGCATCTCTTACATCAGCCATACTTTCAGTGATATGACAAGTCTTCTCTATTTTCAGTGCGTACTGAGATAAAATAATTCACAAACCGAATGGTAAAACAATTTGGTTTTCAATCAAATTTCTTTATTCCACCAAATGTCTGAGATAACGAAGGGATGTCTTTCTTTTTATTGGATATACAGTCGTTTGAAAGTTCAAAATGCATTCTATATTTACAGATATGAAAGAAAATTACATTTTACCACATTGATAGACTTAATATTAAAAACTGACTACAATGATCTTATGGGGAAAAGTAGACTTGAGGAGTAATCACAAAATGAAGAGGAGAGGGTTGGCTCCCAGTTGAGAGGAGGGTGGGAAGAGAGGGTAGGGTGGTAACAGGGGTGGGTATAGGGGTGGGAGGAGAGGGGGTCAGGGTGGGAGAGGGGGGGTACAGTGGTGGAGAGGGGGTGGTACAGGGGTGGGATGGGAGTGTAGAGGTAGAGGGTGGGAGGAGAGTTGGTAGGGTGAAGGGTATGGGTAGGGGGGAGGAGAGGGTAGGGTAGGGGGGGAGAGTAGGTGGGAGGGGTGGGGAGGGTAGAGGGTAAGGGGTGGGAGAGAGGGTAGGGTGGTTAGGGGTGGAGAGAGGTATAGGGTATAGGGTGGGAGGAGAGGGTAGGGGGAGGGGTGGTAGAGGGTGGGAGGGATAGGGTTAGGTTATAGGTTATCGGTGGGGTATTAGAGGGTTTAGGGGTGGGAGGAAGGTAGAGTGTTGTTTGAGGTTATAGGGGTGGGCAGGGTAGGGTAGAGGGTATAGGGGTGGGAGGAGAGGGTAGAGGTATAGGGTGTGGGAGCAGAGGGTAGGTTAGAGGGTATAGTGGGTGGGAGGAGAGGGTATTAGGGTTGGGTTGAGCGGGTGGGTAGAGGGGTTAGGGGTGAGAGGTAGGGTAGAGGGCACAGGGGTGGGAAGAGAGGGTGGTAGAGGGCACAGGGTGGGAAGGAGAGGGTGGGTAGAGGGTTAAGGGGTGGGAAGAGGGTAGGGTAGAGGGTATAGGGGTGGGAGGAGAGGGTAGGGTAGAGGGTATAGGGTGGGAGGAGGGGTGGTAGGTATAGGGTGGAGGAGAGGTGGGTAGGGTGGTGGAGGAGGGTAGGGTAGGGCACAGGTGGGAGAGAGGGTAGAGGGTATAGGGTGGGAGCAGAGGTAGGGTAGAGGGTATAGGGTGGGAGGAGAGGGTAGAGGGTATAGGGGTGGGAGAGAGGGTAGAGGGTATAGGGGTGGGGGGAGAGGGTAGGGTAGAGGGGGGGAGGAGAGGGAGAGGGAAATAGGGGTGGGAGGGAGGGTAGGGGTATAGGGGGGGGAGGAGAGGGTGGGGTTTTAGAGGGTATTTATGGGGGGGGGGGAAAGAGGGGGTTGGGGTAGAGGGGGGGGGGAGAGGGGGGTAGAGGGTATAGGGGTGGGAGGAGGGGGGGTAGGGGAGGGTTTTATTTAAGGGGTGGGGGGGGTTGGGTGGGGTTTTGGGGGGGAGAGGGTTGGGATTTTTGGGGGGGGGAAAGAGGGTTTTAGAGGGTTAGGGGGGGGAAAAGGGAGGTGGGGTTGGGAGGGTTGGGGGGGAAGGGGGGTAGAGGGTATAGGGGGGGAAAAGGGGGGGGGGAGGGGAAAAGGGGGGGAGAGGGGGTAGAGGGTATAGGGGTGGAGAAGGAGAGGGTAGGGTAGAGGGTTGGGGTGGGAGGAGGGGGGTGGGGGGTGAGGGTATAGGGGTGGGGGGAGGGGTTGGGTTGGGGGGTTTGGGTTGGAGGCCAGGGTAGAGGGTTGGGGTGGGAGGAGGCGGGTTGGGTGAGGGTTAGGGGTGGGAAGAGGGTTGGTGGTAATGGGGGGGAGAGGTCGGGTAGGGGTCTAGGGTGGGGGTGGGTAGAGGGTTAGGTGGGGGGGGTGGGTTTGGGCCGGGGGTGGGTTGGGTCTGGGTTGGGTTGGGGGGGTGGGTTTGGGGGGGAGGGTGGGTGTTTGGGGGTTTGTGGGTGGGGCAGTATGGGGGTTGTCATTTCCCCTGTCCATCCAGGAAGTTGGCCATGGGGCGTCTTCTCTGGAGCGTTTCTCCTGAAGGCCCTCCATCCCCCTCCCCCGTGGGGTCCTTTATCTCCTGCAGGCTGTTGTACTTCCTCTTCCTCTCATCCACCTTCATCATCTCCTCGACCTGCTTCAGACGCACCTTCCTCTGCAGCCGGGGCCCTGGGGGAGAGAGGGAGGGGGGGGGAGAGGTAGGGGAGTGAGTGAGAGGAGGCGAGGGGAGTAGGGGTATAGGAGTGAGAGAGAGGGAGGGATGAGAGCGGGGTGGGATGAAAAGGGGAGGGAGGGGAGTGAGGGAAAGAGAGAGAGAGGGGATTGAGAGCGAGAGAGGAGGGGAGTGAGTGAGGGAAAGGGGAGAGGATTGAGAGCGGGAGAGGTGGTGAGAGGGAGGGGAGTGAGAGCGGGATGGGAGTGAGGGAGAGAGGGAGGGGAGTGAGGGAAGAGAGAGAGGGGGGATGGGGGAAGAGGAGAGGGGGGGAAAAGGGGAGGGGAGTGTTTTATTCTTTTTTTGGGCCGGGAGGGGTTTTTTTTGGGGAGAGAGGCGTGGGTGATTGAGGAGAGAGAGAGAGGGGAGTGAGGGAGATGAGGTGGGTGAGAGAGGGTGGTGAGAGGATGGGGTGTGTGTCTTGTGGGGATGTGTTTGGGAGAGAGGGGGAGGTAGGAGTACACACACAGGCAAAAGGGACTGACTACCTAATATCATATACATAAACACAGGCATGCACGCGCACATCAAAGAAAATAAGTTCACCTTGTTCAGTTTCAGTTTCTTCTTCTCTTCCTCCTCAGAGTCGCTGCTGTCTGAGCCATGCTTCTTCTTCTTCTTCTTCTTCTGCTTCTTCTTCTTCTTCTCTTTTAGCTTCTCCCTGTGCATCTCCAGTAGAGTCTTCGGCTCCTCCTCTTCCTCCTGCTCAAGTCCCTCTTCAAACGGAACACAGGCCGAGGAGCTCTATAGGGGGAGACACCTGTCAATCATCTCATCCCAACAAAACAAAAACAGTGTTTATAATTGACTATGGAAATCACATTACCCAAAGGCTCAAACACTATTGATGATTAGTAGAATACGGACCGTAGTTTTGATGCCAGCCTCTCCGGTGCAGTAGCTCTGTTTGACCATGGAGTGGCAGCACTTGAAGCCCCAGCAGCCTTCTCTCCAGTAGGACCCCCAGATACACTGCAAGACAAAAACACAGAAACCCCTGTAAGTATCTGAATAGATGCTACTGTACAGCATTAATACTGTCCTTTACTCTTTTTTAGTTGGCACAGTTCTTGCAGACTCAAATTGTTATTGTCTGACAAAGTCATTGTAACAGCGGCACTGTGCTCCTCCACAAGGGGGCTGTTCAAGAACACTCCAAAAAGGTTCCTGTCTGACTGGACACTATTCTGACTGTGCTCATCTTTCCGGGGTTAGTCAGTTCTAGAAGCCTGACCGTGTGGTTCTGGATGAGTACGTCCTCTTCGTATTTGGAGCGTGCCACAGCCTTCTCCTGTCCCTTCAGCACGGCACCGTGACGACTGTACTCCACGTAGTCCTCAGTCTGGGCCAGAAGCAGCTCTCTGGGCGGGGCATCCAGGTGCTCCTCACCCCCGTACTGAGACACACACAGTTAGAACACACAGGAATAACAGTTAGAACACACAGGAATAACAGTTAGAACACACAGGAATAACAGTTAGAACACACAGTTAGAACACACAGGAATAACAGTTAGAACACACAGTTAGAACACACAGGAATAACAGTTAGAACACACAGGAATAACAGTTAGAACACACAGGAATAACAGTTAGAACACACAGGAATAACAGTTAGAACACACAGGAATAACAGTTATTCAATAGGACCATCAACAAACAAGAATGAAACAGTTATTCAATTATATCATTAACTACTGTATGACAGGGTTGGGGTCAATTCAAATTTAATTTGAAATTCCAATTCAATTCTTGAATTCACGCATGAAGTGAATAATTTACATTGAATTCAATTCGAATTTCAACAATCTTTACGTTATGGAATTGAAATTAGACTTGTTTGGACTGTTTGAGTTGGAATAGTAAAAACATTTAATCTTTGGAATTGAAATTGAAATTCAATATTTGTACATTTCCCAGTTAAAGGAATGAATGCACTTAGTATCAAAAATGGACTGCAGGATATGTTTTTAATTATTTCAACTTGTATTTCTATATTTCCAGTATAGCTAGGCTGTCTAAACAGTGACTGAACCGTGAGGGGATTGAATTTGTGGAATTGTTTGGAATAATATTACATTGTGAATTGAATTCTTGGAATTTACCTAACATTGGAATTGAGAGGATTTGAATTCTCTGAAATCATAGACTGACCTGGAATTAGAATTTAATTTACAGGGAGAGGGAACTGAATTAGTGGAATTAATCCAAACCCTGCTGTATGAGGAACTTGAATTCATGCTTATTACATTGATGACACTTCTTATGGGCTACACAACTTTCTGCATGCAGTTTAAAATGTTAATTGAAATCCTAGGTCTCTAACGACAAAAAGAGGCTGGTGAGGACGGAGCGCAGTGTATTTATTCAGTACCCTATCCAGAATAGTCTCCTTCTGTTTGTCCTTGAAGTCCTCCTTCTTGACCTTGAAGGACTGGTGCAGCAGCTCCAGCTTGGTGGGGTCGGCTTGGAGGTGCACCTCAGAGCCCTTATCATAGGCCTCCCACGCAAACACTGGAGAGATGGAGGAGAGGGCAGGACGTGTGTTTAGCTCCATACAACCCCTTTCCTAAACGAACTATGAAGAATATTGGCATTAGGATGCCATCTCTATGGATACCATTTTAATGTGCAACTAATTCTCCTGGGAGATATTGAGAAAATATGAACGAAGATGGTTTAGTATGAAGACATGTAGAAACTGGTTTTCCAACAGAAATCCCAGATCACACTTGTAGGCGATGTCATGGCGACGTTAGCTAGCTAAGGTCAATGCGCAGAAACACACAATCGGGTCTAACGGCCGTGTCGCGCATGTACATGCCGTCAAATCAAAAGCACTACTTTCGATATAAAAATGTGTCAGTTTGTAACTTTCACAAGGTTAGAGTAAAAACATGTTCAGCTCCTTAAAAGGGATACATCGGGATTTTGGCAATGAGGTCCTTTATCTACTTCCCCAGAGTCAGATGAACTCGTGGATACCGTTTTTATGTCTCTGAAGAAAGTTGCAATTGCTAACTAGCGTTGACTGGAAGTCTATGGGAACAGCTAGCATTACGCTAGTTAGCATTGGCTCTCGATACTACCTCTAGACCAGGGTTCTCCAATTCCGGTCCTGGAGGGCCGAAACACTTCTGTTTTTTTATTTCTACCTGGTAGTTAATTGCACTCACCTGGTGTCCCGGGTCTGAATTAGCCCCTGATTAGAAGGAGAGGATGTAAAACAGGGGTGTTTCGGCCCTCCAGGACCGGAATTGGAGAACCCTGCTCTAGACTCTGAGGAAGTAGATAAAGGGCTTCATTGCCAAAATCCTGAAGTATCCCTTTAAGACATTATCTCAAATCAAGGTTGTGGCTTTAGAAATCGAGAAAATGTACAATAAAATAAGAATTTTTCACTTCTCTAATTGACTTCTCAAAACCCGGTCTGGTCTGCCGAGTCTGCTTTGCAAGCGTTCCCGGAAGTCTTGCGATGTTGAGTCTCTGTGAGACTCTGTGATATGAATGTATTTCAGGAAGATTGGGTTGTGTGCAGGAAAGAAACTGACTCACGCTGTGTCTGGGCCATGGTGACGGTGTCTCCAGAGTAACGTACAAAGTTGTCTCCTGCGAATCCCACACTGCCAAACAAACATGACGGAGAGTGACACATTTAGGAACACAGGCGATCTCAGTGACGGCAAAGCATTCTCTCAGACACGTCACAAAGAAAGAAAAGATTAGCATTGTCACTTCAGCAATCCATGACATGTATTTAGTGATTTGGAACATGGAACTACAAAATCATAACATGTAGTTTAAGACTCATGATATGTAATTAGAGATTCATGACATGAAGTTACAGACTGTTAGTTAAAGGAACAGTGACCTACTCTTCAGACACCATGCCTGTGTTCTGGTAGGGGTTGTCTCATGTAGTTTACAGAACATGAGTTAAATAGTGCTGAGAGATTAGTGCTTGTTGAGGTCGGTTCAGTTTTGATTTAGATGATTAAAAAAGAATCATGGTTTTCGATTTCTAACATTAAATGCACTATGCATTATGTGGGTTGAATGCTGTAACACAGAATAAAACAATGAATAAAAGTCCCATGATGGTAGTGACTGTCCATTACTGCTTATCACTTATTAACCATTTATTCACATTACTAAAATATTTCAGTTGCTGTGTATATTACCTTTGTTTTATTTGATGGCTTTATTATTTCATTCCAAGTCTGCATTTCATTGAGCTCACACAAAAGAAAAACGAACGAAATAAAATGCAAATAGTTTAACCAATTTTGGAAATCTTGGTTAGTCGCTCAGCACTATGGTTACAAACTGTTAGTTAAAGGAACAGTGACCTACTCTTCAGGGACCATGCCAGTGTTCTGGTAGGGGTTCTCTCTCATGGCTCGAGTCTTGGGGTCGTAGTAGGCCGAGTCTGGATCCAGATTTCTCAAGTACTACGGGGCACAAAGTACACAGACGCATAAATTAACAAATACTTCTTCATCAAAACTTGTCATAATTACAAATGTGTAACTTTGGATGAGGGGAAGAACAGATTGAGAAGCCCAAGGTAGCTTCAACATGTATGATTGGACTCACTTTAGCAATGCCTTACATTTAACATTTTAGTAATTTAGCAGAAGCTCTTATCCAGAGTGAGTGCATACATGTATATATTTTTTCCCCCTACTGGTCCCCCGTGGGAATCGAACCCACAACCCTGGCATTGCAAGCTCCATGCTCTACCAACTGAGCCACACGGGACCTGTCTTCTCTGATCCGCAGGTAACATGTATGAATGGACTCACCTTAGCGATGTCTTCTCTGATCCGCAGGTTTCTGACTGTGATTCGTCTCTTGGAGTCAAAGTTCTGTCCCGGCATGTCGATGTCATCAGCATACTTATCTTCATCTTCATCCTCACTGTTCTGCTCCTGTGTGCGTTCGCCATCATCCCACTTCCTGGAGGAGCTCTACAGGAAACAGAGACGAGCATATCAACACACGCACCACCAGAAAACTAAATAGTAATAATCAGCGGTATTCAGCACAGCCACGTGAGAAGATCCAACGGCTTACTGCTTGGTCCGTGAGTTTCCCTGAAGCTAGCTCCTCGTGGAGTTTCTGGGATTTCAGTGTTTGTTTGGCCTGGTCTACTTTGGCATACTCCTCCACAATACGCATGTGATCCTCAGGGTCGTAGCCGTTCCAGCGGTCCCTCTTCCCATCGTAGTCCAGATCCAGGTAGATCTGGCTGTGTTCGTCGGGGGCCATGCCGTTACCCGTGAACTTTGCCCCCACCTTTCTGGGCCGCTGAAAAGGGGTGAGGGTAGGGACGGATGAATGGAGCATCATCATTGATTCCAAACCAAACACATAACACTGGCTACATCCCAAATTGCACCCTATTCCCTATATAGTACACTTCTTTTATAAAGGCAATAGAATACCATTTGGGATACAAACAAATACAACTAAATGCTGTAAGCACCTCCAAGCAGTCCTTCTTCTTGTGTGTCATGGCACCGCAGTTCTCACATGCTCCCTTCCTGAACTTGGTGCTGATGGCTTTCTGTAGAGGGATACAGGGTCAGGGATTAGGCATACATTTAAGGCTTTAGAACAGAAAACAACTGAATCATGCCTTAACTCAGCTCGTGGCTTTAATTGCAACATGCACAACACTATTTATTGTAGTTAAGGCTTTACAATGGAAGACAGCTGAATTACAATACTGAATCAGCTCTTTTTACTAAATGTGGATGAGCAAGGCCTGCTCACCTCTTGCACCCCTCTCTTGTACCACTCCTCTATGGAGGAGAACTGTTGTTGCCTCTCCTCCTGGGGCCTCTGGTGTTTTAGGGTGGGTCTCTTAGAGGGGTCGATGTACCAGGGCACTGACGAGATGTACTGTGGAATGTGAGGGTTGATGTCCCTGGAAACAAGAGGAAGAACAATTAGTCAGCACACTATGCGTCTAGAAAAGGAGAACATCACTGGCCCGCTGGTTTCTTCTGTGTGGAAAGGTGTGACTAGCTAGCCCAAAGGCCTGGAAAACAGTGAGGATTCCCTCTCTTTACATACAAACAGACAGAGAGACTATGATGTCCAGTTATGGGCTGTGTGTGACCAAACATCTTGTCACAGGTTGTTTACATGCATTTAAATGTTCCTCTGGCTGTCTGCCCCACTCTGATGTGAACTGGATCAGCTAACTTCACTTACTTTCCCTCTTCATCTACCTCAGCAGGAGCATTTCCCAGTTTTCTCTGCTCCTCTAACTCCTTCTTCTTCCGCCAGTCCTCTCTGGTCATCTTCTTGGGCTCTTCCAGACCCACCACCCCCTCGGCGTTGGTTGCAGCCGTCGCTGCCTCTTCTTCCTCCGGCATGATTACTGTGATTGGGTCACTAGTTGGAAGAACACACGACACATAGCTGGAGCAGTCACCTAGTTACCATTAAACGAAAACGTTGCTTTCATAAAGTGCTGCATATTCCTGTAGGGAAATGTGGCTGATGGTGTAGCTAGCTGGCTTGAAGTTATTGACAAAAACAAAGGTTTCAACACGCTGGTTAGCTAACGTTAGCTAACTTTGGTGCGTCCCTATTCATAATTCAGGGAAGCGACGAAGGTATGACGAGAAAACCTAGACCGTACAACTAACTCTAGATAAAAATGCATGTTTTGCTTACCTTGGTAGGATCACCAAAATTAGAGAACTTTAGAGACGTAGACTGTAATCCTGGCTATCGACTTACAACATGAACGTCGCCATTTCACAAACCAGGAAGTGACGTCATATCAATTTATACTTCAGCAGAGACGAAGAGGAAGAGAGAGGCCCAACTCGGCGGAAAATCTGTCTCCCTCCAGCAGGTGGCGTTCTTTTCGTTGTTTCGCCCACCAAGCAAGGAGTTTTTGTATGGAGGTCGAATTTGGTAAACAACAAATAAATATGGTTTATTTTCTACATGAGGTTTATTTGATCGAATAGAACTTTCGTAATGCTTAAGTTGTTACGAGTGTATTGATATAAGTAGGACACGTGACATCCCGGAAACTTTGAGAAAAAAACACTTTATATCGGCGTTGCCTCGATGGCTGTGCGTATGTATTCATGTCATGAGGCTCGTAGCATAGCGTCTCTCTCCATTGAATACAGGCGGTTGACGTAAACAACCCTCACCAAATATTCAAAAAAGGAGATAGTACGCCGTGCCGCTTTGTGGACAACAACTCCCATTGTTAGGGCGGAGAGACATGTATCTTGTCAGTATATCAATAATCTTTGCATCGGACTTCTCCAACCCGTAGCGCTGAGCCAGTTAGTTGTATTACATCTTCGCCACTGAGTAGAAAGTTTATAATGACACATTTGTCCTTTGATTAATTTAATAAACTGAAAATAGCTGCTTATTTTACAATGATTATCAGCTTTTTTTTTTCTCCAAAACTGGATAAAAAGTCAGGTGATTGAAAAAATGACAAGAACAACATTTTCTATTGTAAAACTTTACTTATAATATGTATTATACACAAAGGAGTACAGTACAGTTCAGTTCATGAGTCTTAACATGGCAGCAATAAACATATCCCCCGTTTCTTCAGAAAATCTATTTCTGTGTTTTTTCTCTTAAAAAAAAAAAACAGGAGGGGCCAGAGAACTCTTCGAAGTAGACCTGTTGGCATAAACATCACAAAACACACAATAGAAGAAATACAATTAAAAATAAAAAACATAAGGAAAAAAAGTTAATATAGGTTTGATAAATACAAAACTAGGCAACAAAAAACATATCTATTTCTCTGCCCAGATGTTAAGTCAAGAGTGAGGCAGAAAGATTTGTTGTTGACACATTGATGGGCAGGCCATGTAAAAATGGTAGTGCTTCTGTTTGGGAATTCAGTACATTATTTTCTCATTTAGTTGATATGTGTTGGACCCAATTGATTGTTTTAAAAGGCTGAATATTAGGGATTGCAAGGCCAATTGTACAGTGTTTCTCATAGTTTACATTCTAATTCTAAACATCAATTTAACCAATTCTAAAATTCATGAAAGATGTTCTCATTTCATTAAAAAAAAAAAAAAAACATTGGATGAGACTCATGGGAAAGATTGTTATTTCATGGAATTTAACCATAACCAGAAACCAAACAAAATGGACCCGTGTGTTTTGTGCGTTGGAATTGTTTGAATGCAGAACATATACAGTAGAACATTACACAAAATGTATGAACTGAACGTCTCGGTACAACCTTTCTAGAATGTACAGACGTTTCAGAACACTTCACAGCTTCAGAGTGACGATAAACCACCCTGTTGGAAAAGCTGCCCGATGAATCAACATTAGTTATGACAGTTTTATGAGACATTCTGCTTGGCTCTTCAGTTAATCAACAGTGATGATAAACCATGTATTTTAGTGATGCAAGCAACCAGCCTTCCAGCCAGACGACGTAGAGTCTATACTATGGGGTTTGTGTTAAAAGGTTTACAGCACCACAACACTCAATTCAGAGGTATAAAACCCTAAAACACTGTTCTTTAGGCCATGAGTCAATACATGACTAGTATCGCTTGATTCTATAACAGCAGACAGGTGCGTGCGTGCCTCAAACATACACCACGTTCACTCACAATATAAATTTTCGCACCATCTCCCAAACAGACAATACATTTTCCTGCCAGATGTGACCGTCGAATGACCTATGATGATGGAGCATGGTGATGGAATCATCTAACTAGAATTTGTTTAATTTCATTCTAATTCTGTGGATGGAACGGTAACGCAAGACATAAAGTGAGGTCAAAACATTGATGTGGGCATAACTAACAGGTGTGATGTTCTGAACTCTTGGAATGTTTCTGCTTGTCCAGCCATAACCATTTTAACATAATGAGCAAACAATCTGGGATCTTAATCAGGGATTGAGTTTTATCACCATAATATTTTTCTCTAGACAATTGTTTTCTTTACCGTTTACAAAATATGCACTTTAGATTTCAAGATTGGGTTGATTTGTAACAACGTTATAAGTCCAAACAAGTAGTTGGTTATGCCGTTTTATAATCAGTGATCATTGAGAGCATATCGTTGATTATTCTTGATAACTGGTCGAGCTCCTAACTCGAACACCATGCTACACCAGCCCCGCGCGTGTTGATTTTGTCTACTCGAACCAGACGCGATCATGACATGCAGGTTAAAATTACAAAACCAACTGTGATCCAACTATATTAACTTTGGGACAAGGCAAAACATGAAACATTCATGGCCAATAAGATAGACAGCTGTTGTTAGCGGTTTTTCCTGGGAGATGAACATTGAGTTATTATTTTACCTGATCATGCATGTGGTCCCATTCTTAGGTGGTCCTTTGGAGAACCTTGACAACAGATCATACAAGAATTGTGCGTATCTCCATTCCGACGAATTATCCACAGATAAAAAGGGAAACCTAGTTAGTCATCTTTGATTCATATATCCAGGTTTCTCCTTTCAAGCAAACGTGGGGATGTATCTTAAATGAAAACCATTAAGGAGATGGGAGACGTGGGATTTACAGCGCATCGAGTGTCTCAAATAGAACCAAGTTCTATTTTAGCGTTTGTCATCGAAGACGTTAGTTGACGCGCGCAGTGTGAATGAAATGATTGAATAACATGTATTTGTCCATTTATTTTGCAATGCTCGCACACGCAACATGGCCGGTATAGTCTCGGGGTGTGACTGAGTGAGGCTGACAATCCTTTTTTTTTTTTTTTTTCAATCATAAAAAAAGCATCAACAAAAATGTAAACAACGTTTGAGAGGAAGAAAACAGCACCAGACACTAATAACATATCAACAGAAGGACCAGAGGCTGACCAGACACTAATAATGTATCAACAGAAGGACCAGAGGCTGACCAGAGCAGACACTAATAATGTATCAACAGAAGGACCAGAGGCTGACCAGAGCAGTCCTCCCAGCCCCTTAGCACCAGTTCCTATCCCTTACACAATGTTAGTCCACTCTGTGCTGTGCTGTGCTGGGGATAGGAAGGCAATGCAGTATGAACACAAAGGCAGCTTCGTATTTCGCTTGGTACCACCAGGACAATCTCTTTCTCTCACGCTCTCTCTCTTTTCCATTGTCTGTCCATCTGAATGTCACTCTAGAGATGAGAGCTAGACAAAAAAGTATTTTGGTAGAGATGGATAGATGGAAGAAGGAATGGAAGACACAAAGGGGGGGGGGGGGTCTAAACAGAGTTCATTTCTCTTCGTCCTCCACCCTCCCCCACTCCGCCTCCTCTTCCTCTACCTCCGCCTCATCGTCTGGCTCCTCCTCCATGTAGTCCCCCCAGGTGTCATACACATCTCCCCCTTCCTCCTCCCCTAGTCCGCCCTCATACTGATCATCTTCCTCCTCCTCCTCTACCTCCATCGCCTCTCCTTCCTCCTCGTCCTCTCCTCCTTCTTCCTCTCCTTCTTCTTCTTCCTCTTCTTCCTCCTCCTCCGCGTCCTCTTCTAACCCACCCACCTGTCCGTTTTCCAGCTCTCCATCCTCCTCCTCGTTCTTGTAGGAGGAGGGGGGAGAAGGAGGGGAGAAGTGCATTATTTCACCATCAGACATGTAGGGACTGCTAGGGGGTCCGTAGGAGGAGGTGTTGGAGGTCTGGGAGGTGTTGAGGAACAGGCTCCCTGTAGGGGGCAGTAGCGAGTCCTGGGCCAGGCCTGGGGCAACCGTGGAGGGGATAGAACCAGCAGTGGTGGAACTAGGCCTAGGTGGGACCAGACCCAGAGGGTGTGTGAGGAGGTGGGGGAGAGGCATGCCCCCAGGAGGTACGTACTCCCTGATCTCCCCTGGTTCCAGGGGCTCGGGTCCACAGGGGTCGTGATCGTTGCAGGCGAGCCGCCCGTCTATTTTAGAGATGAAGAGCAAGCCCTCACGGTGCTGCTTGCAGAAGGAGCTGGGACACATCTCACAGAAGGAGGCTGCCTCGTGACCGCAGATGTCACACTGGTGCCAGGGGCACTCCCAACGGCCTTAGAATACAGACACAGAATCACTGTTACAACAGAGAGCACCAGACACATTCCTGTAGTACAGATCCTTACAGTCCTTCAGGAAACTCCAGCTTTGAGGTTTGAACAAAAGCAAAAACTACTACCATGATTTCTTTCCTTCTCCATTGTACTAAATCAATCTAACCCACTGGGCACAATCCGGTTGAATCAACATTGTTTCAGCGTAATTTGTTGGTGTATTGTGACGTGGAATCTACGTGGAAAAATAGTAAATCAACGTAAAATGTTGTTTTGAGGGTGACATTTCAACCACAGGATTATGTCATCATGGTAGCCAAATTTCAACATAGACAAACCTTGTATAAAATGTGTTGAATTTATACCTTTAATACAACGTCAAATCTTCAACATTATATCAACTATCAGAAAAAAAAATAAAGGCTGGGCAGCGCCTCCTACTGGATAATTTATTTATCTACAGCTACCCTTTGGTCTCCCAGCCAGGGTTTGAACCAAGCCCAGGCCTGCTTAGCTATGATATTTGTCACTGACTACTACCACTTTAAAAAAAAAATAGATTCACTGTTGCTATCGAAGTCATTCCAAAGGGTAGGCTTAACAGAGCAAATTAAATGTGACCATACTTTATCACTAATATATCATCAATGATGAGATTTAGGCCTATACAGCATTTGCAAAGTCATCAACAGATATTATTTCAATTCAACTAACAATAGACAATACAATAGGTCTAGGGTTTCAGGCTCTGGTTGATTTCATATTTAATTATATTTAGTGATATTGAATTGTGTTTGGTTGTCAAAGCAACCAAATATGAACATTTGAAGGAGATGCACCTTCTGCTTGGATAGTTCCATCTGTGCCACCAGTCTGGCTTTAATTTGAGTTGGTCTACAAATTAACAATTTATATGTTGGATTCACATCTCCATCTCAACCAAATATCAAAGTTAAAGAATTAAGCCAGACTAAGTCAGTGGCACAGATGGAACTATCCAAGCAGAAGGTGCATCTCCTTCAAATGTTGATATTTGGTTGCGTTGACAACAACGGTAAATAGACTATTAACTTTTCGACAAGTTAACAAATGATATGTTGGATTCATGTCTCCAACTCAATCAAAAATAAAAGTTAAAGAATGGGATTAAGCCAGTGGCTCAGATGGTACTATCCAAAAAGTAGATGCATGTCCTTTAAAATGTTGATATTTGGTTGCATTATATCTTTATGGCCATCTTACAAACTAATGTAAGATTCTACCTTAAAATGAGTAACACATCCATGGCCACATTTTGAGGTTACTGTAACTATACATGTCTTCTAATGTAATCATAGAAAGCGTGCATGTTCAAGATAGTGTGCAAAGGTCATCGCAGGTCTGTGGAGATCTTCACAATTGCTGTAATAATCTGCGCAGAATCTCAAAACGGCACTGGTCACTTGCACCATGTAGGCCTTTTTTTATTTAACTTAATCTCAACTGCAATCCAGGTCATCTGGTCCTGCTCACAGATGAAGCACAGTGATAACACAATCATCTGTTGTATGAATAAACTAAATATCTGACCTTTGAACTTTACTCTTCTTTTAAATGGTTGAATGTGATAGAAAACTAAACTAAACTAAAACTCAGAAATGGTTTTTCCATTGGAATGTTGGTTGTGCTTTTAGATGGTTGAAAGCATAGTGATAACAAATCGGAAATTCAACTACCCTTTGGCTGTCTTTTTGAGTGGGTGAATATAGGTTTTAATCTCATTGATCAACGTCTCAACCAAATATTACCCAATTATCCACGTTGAAATGACGTGGTGTGCCCAGTGGGAAGTTACTTTTCCCAAATCCCTTGCTGACGAATTCTAAGGACACAAAAATCTACAGACTACAACCTCTTCGGCAAGTCCCATACATAATCACACACAATATAACAGCCATTTTGGGTCAAAGAGCCTCCATGTGGGAGGTGGTTTCTCGCCCCTTCACCCACCTGCAGGTCTCTTGGCCAGGTTGAGACAGTCTGCGTGGTAGACCTTGGGACAGCCTGGCTTCTTACAGGACACGATCTGTCCTCCGTCCCCACAGCTGAAACACTCGTCCTCCCGCTCCTTCGTCACCTCCAGTTGAGGCTTCCTCTTCACCAGAATCTTCTTCTTGCCCTCCTTTAGTTCCTTTCCTTCCCGTGCTTTAGATGGCTGGTTCTGGGAGACAGACAGACAGACAGACAGACAGACAGACAGAGCGACAGACAGACAGACAGACAGGTCATTACTTTAGACAGCTATATTCACCAGTCTACCTTTCCTTTTTATAGTATAACTCAAATCAAATCAAATGTTATTGGCCACATGCGCCGAATACAACAGGTGCAGACATTACAGTGAAATGCTTACTTACAGCCCTTAACCAACAGTGCATTTATTTTTAATAAAATAAAGTAAAATAAAACAACAAAAAAGTGTTGAGAAAAAAATAGCAGAAGTAAAATAAAATAACAGTAGGGAGGCTATATACAGGGGGGTACCGGTGCAGAGTCAATGTGCGGGGGCACCGGCTAGTTGAGATAGTTGAAGTAATATGTACATGTGGGTAGAGTTAAAGTGACTATGCATAAATAATTAACAGAGTAGCAGCAGCGTAAAAGGATGGTGTGGGGGGACAGTGCAAATAGTCTGGATAGCCATGATTAGCTGTTCAGGAGTCTTATGGCTTGGGGGTAGAAGCTGTTGAGAAGTATTTTGGACCTAGACTTGGCACTCCGGTACCGCTTGCCGTGCGGTAGCAGAGAGAACAGTCTATGACTAGGGTGGCTGCAGTCTTTGACAATTTTTACGGCCTTCCTCTGACACCGCCTGGTATAGAGGTCCTGGATGGCAGGAAGCTTGGCCCCAGCCTTGCGGTCGGAGGCCAAGCAGTTGCCATACCAGGCGGTGATGCAACCAGTCAGGATGCTCTCGATGGTGCAGCTGTAGAATATTTTGAGGATCTGAGGACCCATGCCAAATCTTTTCAGTCCCCTGAGGGGGAATAGGCTTTGTCGTGCCCTCTTCACGACTGTCTTGGTGTGTTTGGACCATGATAGTTCGTTGGTGATGTGGACACCAAGGAACTTGATGCTCTCAACCTGTTCCACTACAGCCCCGTCGATGAGAATGGGGGCGTGCTCAGTCCTCTTTTTTTTCCTGTAGTCCACAATCATCTCCTTTGTCTTGGTTACGTTGAGGGAGAGGTTGTTATCCTGGCACCACACGGCCAGGTCTCTGACTTCCTCCCTATAGGCTGTCTCATCGTTGTCGGTGATCAGGCCTACCACTGTTGTGTCGTCGGCACTTACTGTACATTTCTCTAGATACATTTATATGTTTTGTATGTTGACATTTGTCATTCTCAGAGCCTTACCTTTGGTCGGACGCCCAGGAACCCAGAGCAATTGGGCGCTCCACATTTACACACTGTCTTCCCGTTACCGAGACACTCCAGGTTGTAGTTGAAGGTCAGCTCCACACCTGCACACAAATAAAAATACACCGTCAGGTACTGTACAGGTAGCTTTATTCCTATTCTAATAAGGCCAACAGATTTGATATCATGGTCCATAATTAAGGAACAATTAGGTTTGTTTCTTCTTATTCTTCACAGTTACCTTCTGAATCTTTACAAATGACAAAGACACTTTTGGTCACTAGCCCTAGTGCCTGAGGTAGAGCTAATTACAGAAATGGAACCAGGCTCCAGGAGTTAGTTACAGAAATGGCACCATTTACATTTTAGTCATTTAGCAGACGCTCTTATCCAGAGCGACTTACATTATATTTTTATTTTATTTTTCATACTGGCCCCCCTGGCGTTGCAAACGCCATGCTCTACATCCCTGCCGGCCATTCCCTCCCCTACCCATGTGCGCCGCCCCATGGGTCTCCTGGTTGTGGCCGGCTACGACAGAGCCTGGATTCGAACCAGGATCTCTAGTGGCACAGCTAGCACTGCGATGCAGTGCCTTAGACCACTGCGCTACTCGGGAGTCCAGGCTCCAGGAGTTAGTTACAGAAATGGAACCAGGCTCCAGGAGTTAGTTACAGAAATGGAACCAGGCTCCAGTAGGTTTGTTGATACTTCCTCTGACCTTTGGGGATGTCCTCCAGGGCGAAGAGCCCCACCCTGGTGTCTCCGTTTACTGTCCACTTCTGGGTCTCACAGTTGGGCTGGCAGCAGTGATTCATGAACCTCGCCTGGTTCCCCTTGGGTCCAGCGTCTATGATCCGGTCCTTGTCCAGCGTGAGCATGTAGAAGTTACAGATGTCGTTCTCTTGAGCATGTCTGATCCTGGCTCTGCACTCCTCCTCGTCTATCACCTCCCCCACGTACTCATTCACAAACGCACCCTGAGAGAGGGAGAAGAGTACAGACTCAGGTTATAGTCCGGCAGAAACACAACCCCTTTTACACCACAGACACAGTGGTATGGAGGGTAAATATACTACTGTATGTCCACATCTAAAAACAGAGACAAACAAAGAATACATCGGGTGAAAAGGGCAGTGGAATTCAATTCAAAATACTTTATTTATCCCACAAGGGGCAATTATCCCACAAGGGGCAATTATGTAGGCAGCAATGCAGATCCGTAGTGGGACAAGATTCTCTAAACACAATAAAACCCACAAGGGCAACTGTTGGTGTTCTAGTTTGATGTCTGTACCTTCTTGATGTCGGAGACGCCCCGTAACCCCCAGCCTCGTGACAAGGTCCTGAAGATCTCCACCTGGGTGTACTGTCTCTTGGTGTAGCTCTGGTTCTGGCACCTCTCCCCTGCCAGACACACCTGGGGGTGGCACTCGTACATCAGCATGCGGTTGATACACTCCGAGTCGATGCCACACGGGTTCTCATCAGACGCCTTGCAGTTACAGCGCGGTACCTCCGATAGGTCCGCCGTGATGATCTGGACCTTGCCGATTGGACGGTTCACCTGAGGGGAAGAATAAGCACTTAAGATCAGCAGATGCAATTCAGACTTCTGCGTCTGGAGGAGGTATAAAGGGGCAGTACCTTGATGTGTCCGTAGGGAGGAGGTATAAAGGGGCAGTACCTTGATGTGTCCGTAGGGAGGAGGTATAAAGGGGCAGTACCTTGATGTGTCCGTATGGAGGAGGTTTAAAGGGACAGTACCTTGATGTGTCCGTAGGGAGGAGGTATAAAGGGACAGTACCTTGATGTGTCCGTAGGGAGGAGGTATAAAGGGGCAGTACCTTGATGTGTCCGTATGGAGGAGGTTTAAAGGGACAGTACCTTGATGTGTCTGTAGGGAGGAGGTATAAAGGGGCAGTACCTTGATGTGTCCGTAGGGAGGAGGTTTAAAGGGGCAGTACCTTGATGTGTCTGTAGGGAGGAGGTATAAAGGGGCAGTACCTTGATGTGTCTGTAGGGAGGAGGTTTAAAGGGACAGTACCTTGATGTGTCTGTAGGGAGGAGGTTTAAAGGGGCAGTACCTTGATGTGTCTGTATGGAGGTTTAAAGGGCCAGTACCTTGATGTGTCTGTAGGGAGGAGGTATAAAGGGGCAGTACCTTGATGTGTCTGTAGGGAGGAGGTATAAAGGGACAGTACCTTGATGTGTCCGTAGGGAGGAGGTTTAAAGGGGCAGTACCTTGATGTGTCTGTAGGGAGGAGGTTTAAAGGGGCAGTACCTTGATGTGTCTGTAGGGAGGAGGTATAAAGGGGCAGTACCTTGATGTGTCTGTAGGGAGGAGGTATAAAGGGACAGTACCTTGATGTGTCTGTAGGGAGGAGGTATAAAGGGGCAGTACCTTGATGTGTCCGTAGGGAGGAGGTTTAAAGGGACAGTACCTTGATGTGTCCGTAGGAAGGAGGTTTCTTGTCGTTCCTCCTGTCCTCCTGAAGCTGTCTCATCTCCTTCTCAGCCTGAAGCGCTATGAACCGCTCAGCTGTTTCATTCAGAGCTGAGAGGAAACAGAAGTTAGCGTTATCAGCTAGCTAATATATCTCAAATGGCAAGCTTTCAGCCCTGCCATGTGGTACCTGGAAACATCTCTATTGTTTAAGACTGTTTAAGGTGCCAAAATAGGCAAGCTTTCATTTTAATGCACTAAATAGGAAAGGTTCTTTGGTATTGTTTTCTAAAATTAAGTATATTGTTTGTTATACAGTCAAAAGTTTGGACAAACCTACTCATTCAAGGGTTTTTCTTAATTTTTACTATTTTCTACATTGTTGAATAATAGTGAAGATATCAAAACTATGAAATAACACATATGGAAGCACGTAGTAATCAAAAAAGTGTTAAACAAATCCAAATATATTTTATATTCTTCAAAGTAGCTACCCTTCACCTTGATGACAGCTTTGCACACTCTTGGCATTCTCTGAACCAGCTTCACCTGGAATGCTTTTCCAACAGTCTTGAAGGAGTTCCCACATATGCTGAGCACTTGTTGGCTGCTTTTCCTTCACTCTGCGGTCCGACTCATCCCAAACCATCTCAATTGGGTTGAGGTCGGGGGATTGTGTAGGCCAGGTCATCTGATGCAGCACTCCATCACTCTCCTTCTTGGTCAAATAGCCCTTACACAGCCTGGAGGCGTGTTGGGTCATTGTCCTGTTGAAAAACAAATTATAGTCCCACTAAGCGCAAACCAGATGGGATGGCGTATCGCTGCAGAATGCTGTGGTAGCCATGCTGGTTAAGTGTGCCAGCACACAATCTCCTCCATGCTTCACGGTGGGAACCACACACGCGGAGATCATCCATTCACCTACTCTGCGTCTCACAAAGACACGGCGGTTTGAACCAAAAATCTCATTTGGACTCATCAGACCAAAGGACAGATTTCCACCGGTCTAATGCCCATTGCTCCCGAGTGGCGCAGCGGTCTAAAACACTGCATCTCAGTGCTTGAGGCGTCACTACAGACCCCCTGGTTCGATTCCAGGCTGTATCACAACCGGCCGTGATTGGGAGTCCCATAGGGCGGCTCACAATTGGCCCAGCGTCGTCCGGGTTTGGCCGGTGTAGGCCGTCATTGTAAATAAGAATTTGTTCTTAACTGACTTGCCTAGTTAAATAAAGGTTAAATAAAAAAAGCAAGTCTCTTCTTCTTATTGGTATCCTTTAGTAGTGGTTTCTTTGCAGCAATTCATCAATGAAGGCCTGATTCACGCAGTCTCCTCTGAACAGTTGATGTTGAGATGTATCTGTTACTTGAACTCCGTGAAGCATTTATTTGGGCTGCAATCTGAGGTGCAGTTAACTCTAATGAACTTATCCTCTGCAGCAGAGGTAACTGGTTCTTCCTTTCCTGTGGCGGTCCTCATGAGAGCTAGTTTCATCATAGCGCTTGATGGTTTTTGGACTGCACTTGAAGAAACGTTCAAAGTTCTTGAAATGTTCCGGATTGACTGACCTTCATGTCTTAAAGTAATGATGGACTGTCGTTTCTCTTTGCATATTTGAGCTGTTCTTGCCATAATATGGACTTGGTCTTTTACCAAATAGGGCTGTCTTCTGTATACCACCCCTACCTTGTCACAACACAACTGATTGGCTCAAACGCATTAAGAAGGAAAGAAATTCCACAAATTAACAAGGCACACCTATTAATTGAAATGCATTCCAGGTGACTACCTCATGAAGCTGGTTGAGAGAATGCCAAGAGTGTGCAAAGCTGTCATCAAGGCAAAGGGTGGCTACTTTGAAGAATCTCAAATATGTTATTTCATAGTTTTGATGTCTTCACTATTATTCTACAATGTAGAAAATTGTAAAAAATAAAATAAAGAAAAACCCTTGAATGAGTAGGTGTGTCCAAACTTTTGACTGGTACTGTATATTCTATTGTAACCAAGTAAAGGAGGTTTCTTTCTAACCTTTCTTATAGATGGCGTCACAACCCTTCCCCATCTTGTCCTTGTTGTTGGCATCTCCCTCCGTGTAAGGGAAGACTCGGGCCTGGTAGGTCCAGGCGAAGTCCTTAGAACCAAAGAACTGAACGGGGAACTCCCCCACCTCGTGTTTCATACGGAGGATCTTCTCTGGGACGTTCTTAGGAAGACACACCTCCGCAGGCCACCACCTGAACAAAGGAGAGGAGATACAGATTTTACATTATACATTGACTAAACACATTAAGAACACCTGCTCCTTCCACGACATAGACTGACCAGGTGAATCCAGGTGAAAGCTATGATCCCTTATTGATGTAACCTGTTAAATCCACTTCAAATCAGTGTAGATGAAGGGGAGGAGACAGGTTAAAGAAGGATTTTTAAGCCTTGAGACAATTGAGACATGGATTGTGTATGTGTGCCATTGAGGGTGAATGGGCAAGAAAAAAAGATTGAAGTGCCTTTGAACAGGGTATGGTAGTAGATGCCAGGCACACCGGTTTGTGTCAAGAACTGCAATGCTGCTGGGTTTTTCAGGCTCAACAGTTTCCCGTGTTTATCAAGAAAGGTCCACCACCCAAAGGACATCCAGCTGACTTCACACAACTGTGGGAAGCGTTGGCGTCAACATGGGCCAGCATCCCTGTGGAACGCTTTCGACACCTTGTAGAGTCCAAGCGTGATTCATCACTCCAGAGAACGTGTTTCCACTGCTCCAGAGTCCAATGGTGGCGAGCTTTACACCACTCCAGCCGACGCTTGGCATTGCGCATGTTGATCTTAGGCTTGTGTGCGGCTGCTCGGATATGGAAACCCACTTCATGAAGAACCCGACGAACAGTTATTGTGCTGACGTTTCTTCCAGAGGCAGTTTGGATCTCGGTAGTGAGTGTTGCAACCGAGGACAAACAATTTTTACGGGCTACGCGCTTCAGCACTCGGCGGTCCCGTTCTGTGAGCTGGTGTGGCCTACCAGGCTGAGCCGTTGTTGCTCCTAGACGTTTCCACTTCACAATTACAGCACTTACAGTTGACCGGGGCATCTCTAGTAGGGCAGAATTTTGACAAACTGACTTGTTGGAAAGGTGGCAGCCGGCCGCGACCGGGATACCCATGGGGCGGCGCACAATTGGCCCAGTGTCGTCCAGGTTAGGGGAGGGTTTGGCCGGCAGGGATGTTCTTGTCCCGTCGCACACTAGCGACTCCTGTGGCAGCCCGGGCGCAGTGCACGCTGACACGGTCGCCAGGTGTTTCCTCCGACACATTGGTGAGGCTGGCTTCCGGGTTAAGCGGGCATTGTGTCAAGAAGCAATGCGGCTCGGTTGGGTTGTGTTTCGGAGGACGCACGGCTCTCGACCTTCGCGTCTCCCGAGTCCGTACGGGAGTTGCAGTCATGGGACAAGACTGTAACTACCAATTGGATTCCACAAAATTGGGGCGAAAAGGGGGTAATATTTTTTAAATAATAATAACTGCCTTGTTGGAAAGGTGGCATCCTATGACAGTGCCATGTTGAAAGTCACTGAGCTCTTCAGTACGGGCCATTCTACTCCCAATGTTTGTCTATGGAGATTGCATGGCTGTGTACTCGATTCTATACACCTGTCAGCAACGGGTGTGGCTGAAATAGCCAAATCCACTGATTTGAAGGGGTGTCCACATACTGCTGTATACAGTTGAAGTCGGAAGTTTACATGCACTTAGGTTGGAGTCATTAAAACTCGTTTTTCAACCCCTTCACAAATTTCTTGTTAACAAACTATAGTTTTGGCAAGTTGGTTAGGACATCTACTTTGTGCATGACACAAGTAATATTTCCAACAATTGTTTACAGACAGATTATTTCACTGTATCACAATTCCAGTGGGTCAGAAGTTTACATACACTAAGTTGACTGTGCCTTTAAACAGCTTGGAAAATTCCAGAAAATGATGTCATGGCTTTAGAAGCTTCTGATAGGCTAATTGACATCGTTTGAGTCAATTGGAGGTGTACCTATGAATGTATTTCAAGGCCTACCTTCAAACTCAGTGCCTCTTTGCTTGACATCATGGGAAAATCAAAAGGAATCAGCCAAGACCTCAGAAAAACAATTGTAGACCTCCACAAGTCTGGTTCATCCTTTGGAGCAATTTCCAAACGCCTGAAGGTACCACGTTCATCTGTACAAACAATAGTACGCAAGTATAAACACCATGGGACCACGCAGCCGTCATACCGCTAAGGAAGGAGACGCGTTGTCTCCTAGAGATGAACGTACTTTGGTGCAAATCAATCCCAGAACAACAGCAAAGGACCTTGTGAAGATGCTGGCGGAAACAGGTACAAAAGTACCTATATCCACAGTAAAACGAGTCCTATATCGACATAACTTGAAAGGCCGCTCAGCAAGGAAGAAGCCACTGCTCCAAAACCGCCATAAAAAAGACAGACTACGGTTTGAAACTGCAGATGGGGACAAAGATTGTACTTTTTGGAGAAATGTCCTCTGGTCTGATGAAACAGAAATAGAACTGTTTGGCCATAATGACCATCGTTATGTTTGGAGGAAAAAGGGAAACGCTTGCAAGCCGAAGAACACCATCCCAACTGTGAAGCACAGGGGTGGCAGCATGATGCTGTGGGGGTGCTTTGCTGCAGGAGGGACTGGTGCAATTCACAAATAAGATGGCATCATGAGGAAGGAAAATTAAGTGGATATATTGAAGCAACATCTCAAGACATCAGTCAGGAAGTTAAAGCTTGGTTGCAAATGGGTCTTCCAAATGGACAATGACCCTAAGCATACTTCCAAAGTTGTGGCAAAATGGCTTAAGGACAACAAAGTCAAGGTATTGGAGTGGCCATCACAAAGCCCTGACCTCAATCCTATAGAAAATATGTGGGCAGAACTGAAAAAGCGTGTGCGAGCAAGGAGGCCTACAAACCTGACCCAGTTACACCAGCTCTGTCAGGCGGAATGGGCCAAAATTCACCCAATTTATTGTGGAAGCTTGTGGAAGGCTACCCGAAACGTTTGACCCAAGTTAAACAATTTAAAGGCAATGCTACCAAATACTAACTTCTGACCCACTGGTAATGTGATGAAATAAATCAAAGCTGAAATAAATAATTCTCTCTACTATCATTCTGACATTTCACATTCTTAAAATAAAGTGGTGATCCTAACTGACCTAAGACAGGGAATTTTTAGTAGGATTACATTTTTACATTTGAGATTTTAGTCATTTAGCAGACGCTCTTATCCAGAGCGACTTACAGTTAGTGAGTGCATACATTTTCATACTGGCCCCCCCGTGGGAAACGAACCCACAACCCTGGCGTTGCAAGCGCCATGCTCTACCAACTGAGCTACAGGGATTGTGAAAAACTGAGTTTAAATGTATTTGGCTAAGGTGTATGTAAACTTCCGACTTCAACTGTATATAGTGTATATGGGCTGCATGATGGTATGTATGGGCTGCATGATGCGACTAAAGGCTATTGACGATTTGAGAAAGTAGCAAAGAAAGCTCGCTCTCTGTCCCTTGCATCAGGCTGCACAGCTGTTCTCTCATCAAGTTATCTTATTTTCACTATTCTCAATTTAATCTCCTCATAATATTCGGTAATAATAATAATAATACAATATAACAATCATTATTTTAATTTAATTGTATAACAATCATTATTTTAATTCAGGCATTTTTTAGGGGGCTTGGGCTCATAGGCCTATGCATAAACTCGAATATGCATATGAGTGCTTTGAATTAATCATCACCGTAGAAAGCGTTAGTCCTTGTGGATGTTGTTTCAAAGCCTGTTTTTCCACTCAGTTTCAACCTGTTGTTGAGCTTCTTTCTTCAAAATCAATCCCAGTGAGGTGAGTTTTAAAAGCAAGATACTGTTTTGATGATTAGTGTCTGATGTGATTTTTGATTGCATTTGCATTGATGTCAGAGGGACAACAGAGTCCTGAGTGCCATTAGGACCTGATGGTCATTAGCCAGTTAGGTACTACCAACGCATGTCTAGAGATTACCGTGACTCAACGGTCACGTGGAATTTTACTGCGGTCATGACTCATGACTGCCGGTGTGGTGGCAACTGGGGCTGTGGTAACTATGATTCGAAAAAGTCGTACAAAAAAAAAAGGCTTTGTTTCTTGCCTTATGCTGGGCATCATTCACAAGTGATACTATATAATTCACAAGTGATAGGCTAATATTGTCACCCATCAGACTAGTCTTGATTTAATATTGTCTTCACATACACTACCGTTCAAAAGTTTGGGGTCACTTAGAAATGTCCTTGTTTTCGAAAGAAAAGCCATTTTTTTGTCCATTAAAATTACATAAAATTGATCAGAAATACAGTGTAGACATTGTTAATGTTGTAAATGGCTATTGTAGCTGGAAACGGCTGATTTTAATGGAGGACGCACGGCTCTCGACCTTCAGCAACCATCAGTCCTGTGTTCCAATGGCACGTTGTGTTTGCTAATCCAAGTTAATCATTTTAAAAGGCTAATTGATCATTAGAAAACCCTTTTGCAATTATGTTAGCACAGCTGAAAACTGTTGGGCTGATTAAAGAAGCCCATCTTAATCTTTTCTTTTTATTGTCCAGTCTGAGATATGGCTTTTTCTTTGCAACTCTGCATAGAAGGTCAGCATCCCGGAGTCGCCTCTTCACTGTTGACGTTGAGACTGGTGTTTTGCGGGTACCATTTAATGAAGCTGCCAGTTGAGGACCTGTGAGGCGTCTGTTTCTCAAACTAGACACTAATGTATTTGTCCTCTTGCTCAGTTGTGCACCGGGGCCTCCCACTGCTCTTTCTATTCTGGTTAGAGCCAGTTTGCGCTGTTCTGTGAAGGGAGTAGTACACAGCGTTGTATGAGATCTTCCGTTTCTTGGCAATTTCTCGCATGCAATAGCCTTCTTTTCTCAGAACAAGAATAGACTAACGAGTTTCAGAAGAAAGTTATTTGTTTCTGGCCATTTTGAGCCTGTAATCGAACCCACAATCGCTGATGCTCCAGATACTCAGCTAGTCTCATGGCGGCCAGTTATTATTGCTTCTTTAAAATCAGCCCAACAGTTTTCAGCTGTGCTAACATAATTGCAAAAGGGTTAGATCTTCGATTACATTTGCATTGATGTCAGAGTGATTAGAGGGACAATAGAGTGTTGAGTACCAGGCAGTTAGTAAGTTTGGTAGGCTCCTAATGACCAGCAGCAGCATCAGAGCTTGGAGAAGCCTAATTACCGTGACTAAACGGTCACGTGGAATTTGACTGCCTTCATGACTCGTGACCGCCGGTGTGGCGGTAATACGATCACCGTAACAGTAATAGCGGCAACTCAATATTAGAAAAGGTGTTCCTAATGTTTGGTATACTCAGTGTAGATGCAGATTATACACACAGAGATTCTGATCAATAACAATATGACTGGGTTTCAGGTACTGCTCTTGAGCAATTTTTTTTATATGTTGACACGGGCGAAAAGTATCACTGAGTTGGTTCTGCCCAAAAGCATGGATATTATTTCTAAAAGACCAGTGTTTCTTACTTGTATCTTCCCACTTTAACCCAGAGGATGTCCTTGAAGTGTGGTTTCTTCCCGGCCTTGCAGTCGTTGCAGAACCAGCTCCCCTCGGGCATCTCGATGTTCAGACACTCTCGGTGGAAGGCAGCAGGACAGGACTCGCAGCACAGCAGACTGCCCCCTGCAGGGAGACAGGAGGAGGTGCAGCTCAGACACAAAGTCAACCAGATCTGACCCAATGACCTCAGGATGGGAGGCTGAATGCTTCATTTCACTTTATGTTTCACTTCAACCTTTTTACTCTGTGAGGAGCGTAGGTAGGGCTGTGGCAGTCGCGAAATTTCGTCAGCAGGTGATTGTCAAGCAAATAACTGTCGGTCTCACGGTAATTGACCGTTAATTAACATAAACACATTTAGCAGACGCTCTTATCCAGAGCGACTACAGTTAGTGAATACATATATTTTTATACTGGCCCCGTGGGAATCGAACCCACAACCCTGGCGTTGCAAACGCCATGCTCTATCAACTGAGCTACATCCCTGCCGGCCATTCCCTCCCTACCCTGGACGACGCTGGGCCAATTGTGCGCCGCCCATGAGTCTCCCGGTCGCGGCCGGCTGCGACAGAGCCTGGATTCGAACCAGGATCTCTAGTGGCACAGTTAGCACTGCGATGCGGCGTCTTAGACCACTGCGCCACTCAGGAGTGGTCTCAGGAGTAGCATCTCCTGGCTTCCACACATAGCCTACAAGCCACTGATGCTGACCTTTGGAACATCAACATTTAAAAAGTCTAATAAATCCATGTAATATAGCCTACACCTTCACAATAAATCCATTATTTATTTTAGACAGGTCGAAAGAAACATGATATGAAGAAAATGTAGTCTATTTCAGAAGAACATAATAGCATACTCTGAGTTTGTCCTATAGGTAAGGCCTGATGGTGGCTAGGCCAAATGGCTGTGGGCCTTACACTAGTTCATTTAGCAACAAGATTTGCTTTAGAATTCTGTGGCTTATTTTTCTGAGAATATGAAACAGACTCCTATGCATTTAGATTTTTTTTTATTTATTATTTTAAAGTTTTACGTTTATATTATATTTTGTCTTTTATATTTTTTTGTTTTTTTATTATTTTAGTAATATTTTTTTTTTTTGGGGGGGGGAAGGTGTTATTGCAGGTATCTCTTAAGTTTGTTCCTTCCACACATTGATATTCCTTATTACTTTTCAACCCCACACTTCCCTACGGAGTAATTAGTAACAACATGCTGCCTTATACGGTCTAACTTACTTCTACACCTTATGGACAGAGTTAATTTTACAATAATTCTATTATATATATTTTTATTTTATATTTTATTTTATTAATTTTTTTGCTCCTGAACTTCTTAATAATAATAATAATAATAATATGCCATTTAGCAGACGCTTTTATCCAAAGCGACTTACAGTCGTGCGTGCATACATTTTTTGTGTATGGGTGGTCCCGGGGATCGAACCCACTACCTTGGCGTTACAAGCGCCGTGCTCTACCAGCTGAGCTACAGAGGACCACAATACTCTCAACCTCTCCGATCATTTTCATGATGTCCATCCGGTTTGCTTCTATATGCCATATCTTTCTAACTGTGCTCTTTCCCAAAAGCTCCCAACATCCAACCTATATACTTGTTATGGACACAGTATGCTTACATTATTAGCTATCTTTGTTATTATTTGTTGTTATTTGTTATTAGTCCCATCCTTCAACTCCATTCAACACCTCCCATCTATCTCTTAACACCATCCATATAGGATCTATTTCAGAATTAAAATACTTGAGTTTACAAAAGTCAACCTATTCTCATGCCAAATTTGATTAAAATTTGCAAGTATGTTATATATGATACACCTCCATAATTTAGAGTTATTAATGTAACTTTAGTTGTTCTACAAACGTTGGGCTATATGTTTTGATTTTTAATACATTGTAAGGCTGCATGATGCGACTCTAATGATGATTTGAAAAAAGTCGCTTGAAAAGCATGAGCTCTGCTTTGTTTTTTGCGCAGGCTGTACACACTCCAAGTCACTCATTCACAATTTGACAAGCACTTGAAAAAAAGCTAGAATTTAATGGCGGCATCACTTTTGTGTGGCCGTAATGCACCCTAAAAAAATCCATGCCTTTCGCGGCCAGTGGCCGTTGTGCCCTTCTCCCTGAGTGCTGTGCACTCCATCACGTGATCGGGTCTTTCTCACAGGCTACAAGTGAAGACAGACACATCGGGGACGCAACTGCGTACGTCCTTATCCAATTCCAAGGTGCATATTGAAGATATTGGAAGAACTGTCCACATGTACTTTTCGTCAGCCAACAAGATGAGTAGGCCTTACGAACAGCAGATGCACTGGCCTATGTCAATCTACTGTCCCCCATAGTACAAAGGTTAACCTATTTTATTCTGTGCGAGAAATAAATATTCGAAACAGTTGTGGGATGCAATAGATCCCAAATTAATACAACCACTAGCATCAAAAAACATTTTCTACACAATGAGGCTGACGCAACAGATCAGAACGTTTAGCTTAAAATGTTGATAAACTATTAGGCTATTTCTTTACATTATAAGCGCAGCAATGTGCACACGGCAGTAGGCTATAAGTGTGAATGTTCCATTAGCAGGAAAACACCATTATCAACAGTGACCACAAATGCAAATATGCATTTCATGCTTTTATTATAAAAAGGTGCATTTTTATGGTGAAAGTTATCTTCCCCAAACTTGAAACTCACGCGCTACTTATGTATGCCAGTTAGGCTCTACACCCCTTGTAAAGCGGATTAATGTGCTTAATTTTAAGAAGTTATTTGGCCACTTTAGTTGTGATACAAACCTTGTCAAAAAATATAGGCCCATATTTTTTGACAAGGTTTGTATCACAACTAAAGTGGCCAAATAACTTCTTAAAATTAAGCACATTAATCCACATTAATGGGCTACATGAGGTGTGTGACGATGATTCAAACAAGTCGCAAAAAAAAGGCATTGTTTCTTATGCTGGGCATCATTCACAAGTGATATATAATTCACAAGTGATAAGCTAATATTGTCACCCATCAGACTATTCTTGATTTAATCTTGTCTTTACATATACTAAATAACATATGTGTGAAATTTGTTTTGATTTAGAATGGACCATTATCATGCACCTGTCTCGAAACTGGGGCAGTGGGAAAGAACTACATGTAATCTATGCACTTAAATAGCGAATGGAGGACGCTATTCCTCGTGGTTTATTTTCATGCCAGCCAGGTAGGCTATACTCCTGTCGTAAATAAACTCAGAAAAAAAAGAAACGTCCCTTTTTCAGGACTTTCAAAGATAATTCGTAAAAATCCAAATTACTTCACAGATCTTCATTGTAAAGGGTTTAAACACTGTTTCCCATGCTTGTTCAAAAAACCATAAACAACTAATGAACATGCATCTGTGGAACGGTCGTTAAGACAAACCATAGACAATTAATGAACATGCATCTGTGGAACGGTCGTTAAGACACTAACAGCTTACAGACGGTAGGCAATTACAGGTCACAGTTATGAAAACTTAGGACACTAAAGAGGCCTTTCTACTGACTCTGAAAAACACCAAAAGAAAGATGCCCAGGGTTCCTGCTCATCTGCGTGAACGTGCCTTAGGCATGCTGCAAGGAGGCATGAGGACTGCAGATGTGGCCAGGGCAATAAATTGCAATGTCCGTACTGTGAGACGCCTAAGACAGCGCTACAGGGAGACAGGACGGACAGCTGATCGTCCTCGCAGTGGCAGACCACGTGTAACAACACCTGCACAGGATCGGTACATCCAAACATCACACCTGTGGGACAGGTACAGGATGGCAACAACAACTGCCCGAGTTACACCAGGAAAGCACAATCCCTCCATCAGTGCTCAGACTGTCCGCAATAGGCTGAGAGAGGCTGGACTGAGGGCTTGTAGGCCTGTTGTAAGGCAGGTCCTCACCAGACATCACCGGCAACAACGTCGCCTATGGGCACAAACCCACTGTCGCTGGACCAGACAGGACTGGCAAAAAGTGCTCTTCACTGACGAGTCGCGGTTTTGTCTCACCAGGGGTGATGGTCGGATTTGCGTTTATCGTCGAAGGAATGAGCGTTACACCGAGGATCGATTTGGAGGGTCCGTCATGGTCTGGGGCGGTGTGTCACAGCATCATCAGACTGAGCTTGTTGTCATTGCAGGCAATCTCAACGTTGTGCGTTACAGGGAAGACATCCTCCTCCCTCATGTGGTACCCTTCCTGCAGGCTCATCCTGACATGACCCTCCAGCATGACAATGCCACCAGCCATACTGCTCGTTCTGGACGTGATTTCCTGCAAGACAGGAATGTCAGTGTTCTGCCATGGCCAGCGAAGAGCCCGGATCTCCATCCCATTGAGCACGTCTGGGACCTGTTGGATCAGAGGGTGAGGGCTAGGGCCATTCCCCCCAGAAATGTCCGGGAACTTGCAGGTGCCTTGGTGGAAGAGTGGGGTAACATCTCACAGCAAGAACTGGCAAATCTGGTGCAGTCCATGAGGAGGAGATGCACTGCAGTACTTAATGCAGCTGGTGGCCACACCAGATACTGACTGTTACTTTGATTTTGACCCCCCCCCCTTTGTTCAGGGACACATTATCCCATTTCTGTTAGTCACATGTCTGTGGAACTTGTTCAGTTTATGTCTCAGTTGTTGAATCTTGTTATGTTCATACAAATATTTACACATGTTAAGTTTGCTGAAAATAAATGCAGTTGACAGTGAGAGGACGTTTCTTTTTTTGCTGAGTTTATAAGCAATGTGCTTAATATTAGGAAAGTTGAGAAATAAATATAGTAGGCCTAGCCTATAGAAAGCTGATGGGATCCTCATCTTTTTAATAGAGGCCATCACTCTGTTTTCTCACGCAATTGCACAGCCTATTGAAATGTTGCGCAACATGAGCTCATGGGCTCTCGTGAAGTGTTTGATTAGATTTTCAAATACATTTGCATTGATGTCAGAGTGATTAGAGGGACAATAGAGTGCTGAGTACCAGGCAGTTAGCAAGTTTGGTAGGCTACTAATGACCAGCAGCAGCATCAGAGCTTGGAGAAGCATAATTACTATGACTAAACGGTCACGTGGAATTTGACTGCCTTCATGACTCGTGACCGCCGGTAATATGGTCACCCCAACAGTCCTAAGCATAGGTCATCCACATATTACTCCACCACACTCCTACTCAAATTATTACTCCACCACACTCCTACTCAAATTATTACTCCACCACACTCCTACTCAAATTATTACTCCACCACACTCCTACTCAAATTATTACTCCACCACACTCCTACTCAAATTATTACTCCACCAACCTCCTACTCAAATTATTACTCCACCACACTCCTACTCAAATGATTACTCCACCTCTAATAATAATACCACCACATTTGTATAATGGACTCTGCAAGACTGACAACACTCAACCAATCAACCCACCAATCAATAACCAACAGCAACCCAACCAGTCACCAACCTTCTGAGCAGACGAAGCACCAGCTGACGTTGATGTGTTCGTGGTTCTTGTAGTTCTTGCGGGGGGTGAAGTGGTTGGGACACAGGAAGCTGTTGTTGGCCAGGACTACGCTGCCCGCCGCCATGCAGTAGTCGTTAGCGTGGTACGCCACAGGGCAGCGCACGCAGCGGGTCAGACGACCTAGAGGAGGGAACACAGGTCAAAAACAACACACACACACACACACACACACACACACCAAAACATCTCCACAGCCATGTTAGAAACTAGGATCCCATCCCAGACAAACAGAGAATCTGCAGTGATGTTTGTAGCTAATCTTAGTCCTCCAATCACATTACAGGTTTTCAGCCCTACTTGTTATGTTTCAATTCTACTGTAGCAATCGGTTTTCCATCCCATAAAAAGAAATCACTCAACTCTACTCTAATCGTGTCACTTCCAATTCCAAACAAAACCTATAGCCTAGGTCTATTTCTATTCTGCCAGGGGTGAAAGTAAGGCGGTCCGGTCCGGTCCGGTGTCCCTGCACCGTACCAGTAAAACATGAGCCTATCACAATAATTCAAACAAAATGTCAAGAACCGTCGGCTATTACACCATTTCCTATCATTACTGCATGTCAGAGGCGTGACAAATGGGCGAATGGCCTTGAAAACGGGTGGTAAAGCCTACGCTCCAAAATGTGATGTGGTTCGACGAGATCACGGACAGTTTGCCAAGGCAGAGATGAGTGGCTCGACACAGAGACGCGCGCAGACAGCAGTAGACGCAGAAATTCTGGCCTAATGACAATCGCCAAATGTCATTACACTTTTTTGGTGTTTTGTGTAACAGATGTCTCTTTCCTTTCACCACTGTTTGGAGGCTGGGATATGTTTCTAGTGGATGAATGTGTGCAGGTAGCCTGGTAAAGGAGCCTTCTGAAGTGATTGTTTGACAATCAGATGAAAACATCATGACTGGTTGTGTTTATGCCACAATAAAAAGGTAATCCATTTGACTAGTTAAATTACTAATCTTTACGACTAGGCCCACAGAGATCCTATTGAATTAATAGTGCACAAATGTTGGTGCACTCGTGCACATATAGGAGGTCTCGTACCGGGAAGAAATGAATTCTACTTTACCCCTGGTTCTATCAAAGCAGAGTGGAAGTGGAACCTACTTTTGGAATTGCAGGGGTTGAGGGGGTTGGTGATGTGGCAGGACAGACAGACGTGGAGGGAGCAGCGAACCCCTTTATTCTGGTGCTGGGTGGGTGTGTGTTTCAGGATACACTCGTTGTGGTAGAACTTCCCACAGACAGGCACCATGCACCTCTTCACACCGTCACCAGACTTCTTACACACAAAGCACGTGTGGACCCCTGCAACGGAAAGGATACACTCTTAGCTTTGTGATACACCAAAGCAGCTTACATACATTGTGGGTATAGATACAGAGTACCTCTGTCAGATGCAGAGACATGCTCTATGAGCATGGCAGTATCACTGTACAGGTGTAAGACCTTAGTAACACAGTGTTAAGTCAAGGTGAATATGTATATAGGTGAGGCTGCACCAGGTGTAAATGGCTCCTGTAAGATTAGAATGGTGCCAGGCAGCCTTACCTGTTTTGGATAAGAGCGTCTGCTAAATGACACAAATGTACAGTGGGGGAAAAAAAGTATTTAGTCAGCCACCAATTGTGCAAGTTCTCCCACTTAGAAAGATGAGAGAGGCCTGTCATTTTCATCATAGGTACACGTCAACTATGACAGACAAAATGAGATTTTCTTTCTCCAGAAAATCACATTGTAGGATTTTTAATGAATTTATTTGCAAATTATGGTGGAAAATAAGTATTTGGTCAATAACAAAAGTTTCTCAATACTTTGTTATATACCCTTTGTTGGCAATGACACAGGTCAAACGTTTTCTGTAAGTCTTCACAAGGTTTTCACACACTGTTGCTGGTATTTTGGCCCATTCCTCCATGCAGATCTCCTCTAGAGCAGTGATGTTTTGGGGCTGTCGCTGGGCAACACGGACTTTCAACTCCCTCCAAAGATGTTCTATGGGGTTGAGATCTGGAGACTGGCTAGGCCACTCCAGGACCTTGAAATGCTTCTTACGAAGCCACTCCTTCGTTGCCCGGGCGGTGTGTTTGGGATCATTGTCATGCTGAAAGACCCAGCCACGTTTCATCTTCAATGCCCTTGCTGTTGGAAGGAGGTTTTCACTCAAAATCTCACAATACATGGCCCCATTCATTCTTTCCTTTACACGGATCAGTCGTCCTGGTACCTTTGCAGAAAAACAGCCCCAAAGCATGATGTTTCCACCCCCATGCTTCACAGTAGGTATGGTGTTCTTTGGATGCAACTCAGCATTCTTTGTCCTCCAAACACGACGAGTTGAGTTTTTACCAAAAAGTTCTATTTTGGTTTCATCTGACCATATGACATTCTCCCAATCCTCTTCTGGATCATCCAAATGCACTCTAGCAAACTTCAGACGGGCCTGGACATGTACTGGCTTAAGCAGGGGGACACGTCTGGCACTGCAGGATTTGAGTCCCTGGCGGCGTAGTGTGTTACTGATGGTAGGCTTTGTTACTTTGGTCCAAGCTCTCTGCAGGTCATTCACTAGGTCCCCCCGTGTGGTTCTGGGATTTTTGCTCACCGTTCTTGTGATCATTTTGACCCCACGGGGTGAGATCTTGCGTGGAGCCCCAGATCGAGGGAGATTATCAGTGGTCTTGTATGTCTTCCATTTCCTAATAATTGCTCCCACAGTTGATTTCTTCAAACCAAGCTGCTTACCTATTGCAGATTCAGTCTTCCCAGCCTGGTGCAGGTCTACAATTTTGTTTCTTGTGTCCTTTGACAGCTCTTTGGTCTTGGCCATAGTGGAGTTTGGAGTGTGACTGTTTGAGGTTGTGGACAGTTGTCTTTTATACTGATAACAAGTACAAACAGGTGCCATTAATACAGGTAACGAGTGGAGGACAGAGGAGCCTCTTAAAGAAGAAGTTACAGGTCTGTGAGAGCCAGAAATCTTGCTTGTTTGTAGGTGACCAAATACTTATTTTCCACCATAATTTGCAAATAAATTCATTAAAAATCCTCAATTTGTCTGTCATAGTTGACGTGTACCTATGATGAAAATTACAGGCCTCTCTCATCTTTTTAAGTGGGAGAACTTGCACAATTGGTGGCTGACTAAATACTTTTTTCCCCCCACTGTAAATGGACAGAGGTGTACACGGACAGGTAGAGACTCACCTTTAGTGCATTCACAACAGATGAACTTCCCTCTGGGGGCTTCTGATAGGCCGATACACTGCAGATGGAACGCCCCACAGCACTGGCCCTCACACAGCAGCAGCTCGCCTGTCCTCTCACACACCTGCAAGACACACACACACACACACACACACACACACACACACACACACACACACACTTTAGTCTTGCGTTACGATACTCCCAAACCTCATTCATCACTCGGCTATTGGGAACGGCTATTTCTGAACTGATGGGTTGAAAGCCTGGAAATCGAGGTTAGAGCTATTTTGACTGATTCTGCCACTACAAAATAGAGCGGTTGTGGCATGTTGTTGGTTGACCTACCTGACAGACATTCTCCTTCATGGATGCAGCTCCTCCTTTCTCTCCTGTGTTCTTCTTAGTGCCGGAGAGCAGGGACCCGTCACCAGGTAGGGAGAAACTGTCATTCAGACCAGGAGAGAACACCTGGAGGAGAGGAGAGGTGTTATTACACAACATATTGGTTAAGGTGTGGGGGGGCTTACAGCACTAGTACAATTCTACCTCAGGGTGAATGCTGGCATCATAGCATGAAACTAGTCATCTTTTCACACAGGTTGAAAAAGGTGTTTATGCTGACCTCAGGTTTGGGTGTTCGCTCTCCGTTGGTGTGGCTCTCTCCTCCCACCCCAGGACTGATGTTCTCGGTCTCTGCCTTGGGGGTGAGGAGCACTGTAGGGCTAGGGGTCCGGGCAGGGGAGGAGGCCTGCAGTGAAACCATGCTCTCTGGAGTTGTCAAGCTGGATACAGGCACTTCTTTCTTCACAGACTTAACCTGTCAAAGAAATGACATAATTAGACCCGTTTCAGAGTGGTACTGTAGCAGTATAGTTGTGTTAATATGGCTGTTGGTTAGTTGATTCAGCCTTACCTGAGTGTCCCTGACGTCAGTCCTCTCCTCTGTCTGTGCACTCTGCTTCTTCAACTCCTTCTTCTTTGGAGGACTGAGTGACATTTCTTCTATGGTGCATTCCAGGACCTTGTGAGACAGCTTCCTTGGCCTCTTCCTCTCCAGGGATACTGGGGCTGGGGAATGACCAGACATTTAAATACCCAAAATCTACTGTATCTGAAAATATGAGGAGGATTTGTTTTCATTATCATAACTACTTCCCCCAAATGGAGCTACTTCCCCCAAATGGAGCTACTTCCCCCAAATGGAGCTACTTCCCCCAAATGGAGCTACTTCCCCCAAATGGAGCTACTTCCCCCAATGGAGCTACTTCCCCCAAATGGAGCTACTTCCCCCAAATGGAGCTACTTCCCCCAATTGGAGCTACTTCCCCCAATGGAGCTACTTCCCCCAATGGAGCTACTTTCCCCAATAGAATATATCTGTCTCTTGTATTACATAAGACAGCATTGCCGTATGAGAGATGTTTTTGGATATGTTTTTTTTTTGACTGTCTGCTTACCAGAGAGCAGAGGAGGGTTTGTCCCATCTGATGATGATTCAGTAGAGAAAGAGGTCACTGCTGGGGGTTGTTTGGATAATGATTCTATAACACGGTGGAGGACATCTTGAGACAGACTCTGTTTCAGCCCTGCTGGGGCCTTGGTGCTGGCTGGCTCCCCAGAGGTAGGGCCAGTGGTTGGGCTGGCTGACTCCCCAAAGGTAGGGCCAGGTGTGGGGTTGGCTGACTCCCCAAAGGTAGGGCCAGGTGTGGGGTTGGCTGACTCCCCAGAGGTAGGGCCAGGTGTGGGGTTGGCTGAGTCCCCAGAGGTAGGGCCAGTGGTTGGGCTGGCTGACTCCCCAGAGGTAGGGCCAGTGGTTGGGCTGGCTGACTCCCCAGAGGTAGGGCCAAGGATGGGGCTGGCTGGCTCCCCAGAGGTAGGGCCAGGGGTGGGGCTGGGGGTAGAGGTGTACTTTAGCAGTGCTGGGGATGTAGAAGGGCTCAGAGGGGTTTTGGAAGGTTCCAGAGGTTTCTTTAGTTTTTTCTTCGGGGAGAAGAATTGTTCCTCCTCTGTGGATTCCAGGAGTCTTTTGCTCGGTTTCCTCAGCCGTTTGTTTTCAGAATTTGCTGTGGGAATAAATAATCAATCAATCAAATCAATCTCTAAAACTAAAATAAAAAGCTAACTGTTGACATAAAACACTGCTGGTACTGAAACCCATTCAAGTCTTACCTGATGTGTCATCTTGCTTCTCCATCCCCAGGTTCAGATCAGGGGACCTGATGGGGTCTTGTGTCCCTCCCTGGCAGTCTCTGTAGACCCCATTCACCTCTGCAGGCCCCTGCGGTGAGGCCACCCCACCCAGGGCCCTTGCATCCTTCCCTGGCTTCACTGGGCCCTGCTGCGCAAACGTCTGCCAGCGCTTCTTAGGGGCCACTTTGGTACCCGGGCTCTTGTCGAGGTAGGATGAGGAGTCAGCAGCGGAGGGGACAGGAGGAAGAGGACGAGGCTCAGCCAGGTCAGCGTGCCCAGAGACAAACTCCCTCCCCCAGGCTAGGTCGGCCATCTCGGGAGAGAGACCAGCGATGGTGGCCCGGAGCTTGGCTGGAGGCCTCTGCTTCCTCCGCTGCTGCTTCTGCTTCTCCACCGCGTTCGCCACCATCTGAGCAAGCACCGTTTTCCCTTCAAGTTTGTACGTGTCGTTTTTCATGATGGGTTTAGTTCTGGACTTGGGTTTGGCCGGTGTGCTCTTGGGTGTCGGCGAGCTCGGGCGTTGGCCGTTTTGGATTTTGGTCCCCGCTGGTGTCCAGTCCCCGCCAGCAGCAGTGTTCAGGGGGTCGTCTGGTGCTCTGGCGGTGGGTATAACCATGGGCTCCTCCTGGATGAGGGCTGGCGAGGGAGGCATGGTCAGGGCCTGGCCCTCTTTCTCCCTGGTATCATGCATGTCCTTCAGGAGCATCAGGAAACTACTGAACTTGTAATTAGGCTCAGGTTTAAAGTTAGCGTTAGAGTCCCCAGAGTCACTCTCCTCCTTCACTGAGGATTTGAACGACAGCTCCTTGACAACCTGGAAAGCGTCCATGGGAGAGAGAGAGGAGGTGGGGGAAGTACAGGAGGATATGTCTGAGACAATGTTCTCTTCCTTGACCTTAATAGGGGGTATGGCAGGCTTACTGGACCCTGGAGTCACATCTTCAGAATGTTTCCACGAGCCGTTGTGGAGGTGCTTCCAATCAGAATTGGGGTGTTTTTTCGGAGAGCTGTGACTTACAGAGGATATGGTTTTGTCTGGTGAAGAATCCCTGCTAGTAGACGACTCTGTTTTGATTGGAACATTATCGCTCACATCATCATCATCATCATCATCAGAAGAAGAAGAATGCACATTAAGCCTATCGTTTGTCAAGTTTTGGCTTGAGGCCAGCAGGGCCTCTTTGAGTTCTGTCTCTTCCTCTGCTTTCAGGGCCCTGGTCATCAGACGTCTGCTGGCAGGGAGATGCAGAGAGCTGAGCTTATCAAGAGCATTTTTATTCTTCAGTTCAGAAGAGCTGCCCAACTTCTGTTTTGACTGTAAAACATTTGTGTTTTTCGTAGTTCTGTAATTGAAAAGGGATTTGTTTGCTAAAATGCTTGGGGATGGGGAGATGGGAACTACATGCCTAGGGACCACCACGACCACATGCCTGTCCTTTTCAGGAGGCGTAGCCCGCTCCTTTTCAGGAGGAGTCGCCCGCTCCTTCTTGCCCACTTTCTCTGCCTCCTCTTTTGAGGGTTCAGACGGTTTCTCTGTGTCTTCTTTAGCAAGTTTCTCAGACCGTTTGGGACGTACAATGGTCGGTACAGAATCCAGGTCTGCGTATGGAGAGTCCTTGGGATCTCCTTCTTTCAGTGGATCAGCTGAGGCAGCAGGCGTTTGGTTGGCCAGGTCTAGGATGCTTAGTGACTCTGTGGGACTTCCAGCTATATGACCAAAGATCTCCGCCAAACCCTTCCTCTTCCTCTTCTTTTTGCTGCTACTTTCGTTCACTACGGTCAGATGTTTGTTTCTACTGGGGTGAGGGCTGAAGGAGGAGGGTGCAGTGAGGTTAGAGGAGGAACAAGAGGGGGCCTCGGATGGTTTTTTATCAGGCAGCGGGGAGGACACCCGCTCTTCACCGTTAGAGGCCATGGAAGAAGAGACAGCAGTATTCTTCAGCAAGTCAGGTAGGAGAAACTCAGCTTCAAGCACACTGACTTTCCACGACTCCAACAGACGCTTGGGTATCTACAGGGGAGAGACGACAGCCATCAGGACAAAAGCTGCCACCTGTCAAAGATGTCCTTCTTTCTAAACTATATGGAGTTGTTGTCTTTGTGGAATAGACAGTATTTGAGTATAATCTTCCAAATCTTCCAGACATGCAATGAAACTATTCTGTTCCTTTACAACGACAAAAGCGATTTGGGACTTGAAACATATCACTACTAACAGCAACACACAATGTGAGCTAAATTAAAAGCAACAGGAGTTGACAGTTGTCTGTAGTCAGTTACTGTGTATTAAAAGCAACAGGAGTTGACAGTTGTCTGTAGTCAGTTACTGTGTATTAAAAGCAACAGGAGTTGACAGTTGTCTGTAGTCAGTTACTGTGTATTAAAAGCAACAGGAGTTGACAGTTGTCTGTAGTCAGTTACTGTGTATTAAAAGCAACAGGAGTTGACAGTTGTCTGTAGTCAGTTACTGTGTATTAAAAGCAACAGGAGTTGACAGTTGTCTGTAGTCAGTTACTGTGTATTAAAAGCAACAGGAGTTGACAGTTGTCTGTAGTCAGTTACTGTGTATTAAAAGCAACAGGAGTTGACAGTTGTCTGTAGTCAGTTACTGTGTATTAAAAGCAACAGGAGTTGACAGTTGTCTGTGGTCAGTTACTGTGTATTTGTAGTCTTTTTCCCTCTGTTTCCCTCTCCGTCTCAGCACAGGCAGGTCTGTAAACTGCTCTCCTCCTGTGAAGGGGTAGGTAACTTTCCCAGGTACCCAGGCGTGGTCAGCTATCTCCCCCACAGTCTCCACGTAATACATACGACAAGGACGACGACTGGGGACTGGAACAACGGAAAACACAAAGACAACTCGTTTCAACATTGATACAAAATATTATAAAAAGGTAAATTATGATATTAACAAGATCAAAAGAACAGGGCTCAAAAGCTTCTTAAATGCTCATCACAAAGACGAACTAGGCCGTCAGGCTGAGAGCTGATACATTGAGTTGAAGTAGTTTATAGATAACTGTCTGAAGATGACCCCATGCTATATGCCCTTATATACCACCACCTATATCATCTTTGGAGTGATAATCAACAACACATTTTGGAGCCAAGTGGTTCATTCTTCTTTCTAAGTGTCATACCCCCCCACAGAACCCAGATGGGAGCTTCCCTTCCTTCCTACTTTTCATCAATGCTTATTGCCCTGACATCATAATAATAATACACCCAACCTGTGACCACCTTGTGATCAGTTTACACCCAACACCAATAATCCTACTTCCCACCTTTCATGTGTGTGTGTGTCCCCTCCAGTGGATCTATGGTGACGCTACAGGGCCACCAGGGGCGGCGGTTGAACTTGGCCCAGACCAGATCTCCCTCCACGTACTGAACTGCTGGGAGAGGCTTCTTCTTTGGGCTGTTGGGCTGAACAAAAACAAAACAAAGACTTTATTACACGTATAGGATCATCACTTGGACAGTTCAAAACTCTTGATGGTAAAAGGGATTTCTTGCATCTTATTATATGTTGTTTAACATTTATTTTTAGCATCTAAAATTCAAATGTAAAACAAATATACTCTTATCAAATCAATATTATGTTGCTGAATATAAAACTAGCCTATATGGTCGATCGGCATATAGTGTATGCAAAATCTAAACGATCAATTAAGAATAGCTCCTTGACAAATACTGTTCCAGGAGATTACACAGTATTTACAGAACTGGACATAACGTCAGATATCTTTTGAGAGCTACCCAGGATGCATCTGCCCCAAGGGCTATTATTATTATTATTATTAATATTATTATTATCAGTAAGAGAGGGAACTCACATTAGAGTTGGTTCCAACAGGTGAGATGAGACCATGGTCAAGTGTATCTCCTGTCATCTCACTGTCACTGTCGGAGTCCTGGTCCATACTCCAGCCATCCCCCATAGACATGACAGGCAGGGCACTGGGGCTCAGAGTAGGGTCCAGCTCAGATAGACTCTTGGACATCAGGTTGAGAACAGAGGGTTTGTATGTGCTGTTATGGCCTAGCCCTGAACCAGAGGTGCTGTTAGAGTCTGTGACAGTTCTGTCTCTGGTGGACTTAGAAGAGTGTTGTTGAAAAGGAACCAACTCGTCCTCCTCCTCCTCATCCTCCCTGTCCCCACTGTCAAACAAGGTGGACTCAAAATGCAAGTATCCATTGGGGATGGGGGAGCAGCGCTCCAAACTATCAGAACTAACAGGAGAGAAACCGTTCTGATCCCGGATGGAATCCTCGTAGGGTTCTGTCTCCTCGTTACTGGGAGAGGGGGGCAGTCGGACCTGGGGAGCCTCAAAACTAGAGCCTCCCACTGGGCTGTGAGAGTGCAAATGGTTCCTGGCGTCGAGGTCCTTGGGCTGGGGCCCGGGTCCCATATCACACCCAGGTCTGTGTACCATAGTGGAGAGGTCCTGGAGCCTCAGCAGAGGACTATAGCAGTGGGGCCTCTCCCTCTCTGCCTGGTTATACATGTAGCTAGGTGCCTGTTTGAGGGAGGAGGTTGACAGTTGCATGGCCGCCGACGGTTGGTCTGTTGAGCCACGCTTGGCGCTGCTGTTACACTGGTTTCCATAGGAAGTGGCAGAAACTGAGAGGCCATTGGGGGGCCTCAGCTCTGGCTGGCCTGTGCTGTACACTGTGGCTGAGCCTGAGCGGCCCCGAACAGCCCGTCTGTATGACCGATTCATGTTGTCATGGCTCCTTCCTGTCATAGTAAAAGGAAATGCACATTAGGGTGGTTGAGGTTACAAAAGGTAAGTCTTCTAGTAAACAACCTGGTTTTTCCTATCCAGCTACAGTGAAGTCAATTCATATGGTTCAGGCTCATGCACTGGCTCAATGTTACAAAACAAATTGTAAAAATAAAATAAAACGCTAGAATTTATATAAACCATACTTTCTGTCTGTAAATAACAACTCCCATTCCACGCGACAATAACAGAAAAAAAGACTAGACGTAATAAGACGACATTGCATGGCTTCCCCTGTGAAGGCCCTCCGTAGCAGCAGCAGAGAAGACAAAAAGCTCAGGAAAACACAGCGAGCGACCGGTGTGCTCTGCCCCGTTCACAAACGAATCATATCTACTCGTTCTGTTTTTGATATCAAAATAGAACGATAGCGAACACAAAAATTATAGAAGTGTGCAACATTGCTCACGCTGACAGCCTGACTGACTGTAGGGGAGTCAATACAGGCAGATCCATCATATAGAATGGCTCACACAAATAGCCTACACAGAGCCTATAAACCGACATAGGAAGCTCCCATTGTAACTCACAAAAGGACGGCTCAAAACGTTTAAAAACATCGTCTGTATTAAAAAACGCAAGAATCTTACCATTTGGAGGTCGGTCACAATAAAACCAACTGCGGGTCTTTCAGATTGGGGCATGAAGCGTGTGTTTTTTTCGATTTGTGAAAGCGGATCTGCACAATCCCAGCAGTAGCAGCAGTAGTAGGCCAAGAAAGACCCACAGCTCTCATTCTCTACCCTTCACCTCCTGTCCTATCTCATCAGCGGCGGCCTTAACAAAACAGAGTCACCAATGGACAAAATAGAATTAAAACCTTCCATTTTAGTGCATCAAAAGTCAGTGTAGCCTACACCACCGTAGTCCCTAGCAATTACAATATTTACTACATGATTGTTTTGCGGGCTGTCGAAATGTCCCTCTGGTTATGTTAAAACAAAACCCTGCTAGACTAACTGGCTGTGCTGGCGAGCAGAGCTGAGCAACCAATCCGCACAGGCACCCAACCCCCCGTCTGCGGAGCCGCGGAACACAGCACACAGCACATCAGGCCGGGGCACTCTCACCCTATCAGTCCTCACTCACTAGAGCACACTGCTCTACAGTCACACTGACAAATCCAGGTGCACCATCTCAAATAAAAGCGGGGGCTATGATGTAGGCTACTATATCCCCTCATGTGTTTTAGCCAACATACAGGAAACCCGTGGCTAGATAATATAAGACTATTTGTTATGGGGTTATGTGAGGGGAAGGTATGTCACACTGATAAACGATTGCGCCATTGGTTTCCTTATCCCAACAAAGGCGTAACTTGTTTCCTCCATTTTGGATAGCAGAGAGAGAAGAATCTGTGTCCAAAACAGATACGGTTCAATAGTTCGAATGTGCTCGCCGGGAAAACAGCGCACGCGGATGAGGCCTGGTAAAAGTTTTAAAATAGACCATGCGCCATTTTGCCTGACAGCAGAGAAAATAGGTCATGGCGCGTCAAAAACATGTCGGCGACAATAAACATGTCAATGGTGGGGGCAAAGCCCCAAATAAAGTCGATCCACTGGACACCATGCTGTCAATGAGATGCAATGTAATAGATTATTGTTAATTAGGCTAAGTGCCTAACGTTATCAGTTTTCCCCACGTATCCTACAATAAGTTCACATTGAAATAACAACAGCAGCCTATAAGGAGAATGCGCCTTGCATAGTGGCAACACAAAAGGTTCGCCATACTTGCAGTGGTGGGCTACCGCAACTGTCATAAAGTCGCTTCGCACAATGACCATCACTGCTACATCGAAATGACAGTGGTCAAATAGGCTACAGACATGCTTTTATAGCCAATTCTAATTAACCATATTACCTGATAGGCAAGCTGCTCTTCATTGATGACCAATCTGCCGATTTGTAACCTTATGAGGCCGTCACTCAGGAGAAGGTTGGGCGAGGAGAATGCACATGCAATGGCAGGGGCCCCGACAATAAGAAGAAAATTAGATAATATTTTTTTCAAAGTGGCCCAATGTTTTTGTGTTGAAATTATATGAAATGTGTCTTTATTTCTCATTCATTATTGGTTTCTCAGTTCGATGAGATTCACAATACAGGCCATATGTAATTCTAGGCCTATGTAATACACTTTACCCATGTTTATGTACAGTGGGGAGAACAAGTATTTGATACACTGCCGATTTTGCAGGTTTTCCTACTTACAAAGCATGTAGAGGTTTGTAATTTTGTATCATAGGTACACTTCAACTGTGAGAGACGGAATCTAAAACAAAAATCCAGAAAATCACATTGTATGACTTTTTAAGTAATTAATTAGCATTTTATTGCATGACATAAGTATTTGATACATCAGAAAAGCAGAACTTAATATTTGGTACAGAAACCTTTGTTTGCAATTACAGAGTTAATACGTTTCCTGTAGGTCTTGACCAGGTTTGCACACACTGCAGCAGGGATTTTGGCCCACTCCTCCATACAGACCTTCTCCAGATCATTCAGGTTTTGGGGCTGTCGATGGGCAATACGGACTTTCAGCTCCCTCCAAAGATGTTCTATTTGGTTCAGGTCTGGAGACTGGCTAGGCCACTCCAGGTGTTTTTCTGCTAAGGGGACAGGACAACCTCACCGCATCAAAGGGACGATGGACGGGGCCATGTACCGTCAAATCTTGGGTGAGAACCTCCTTCCCTCAGCCAGGGCATTGAAAATGGGTCGTGGAGAGGTATTCCAGCATGACAATGACCCAAAACACATGGCCAAGGAAACAAAGGAGTGGCTCAAGAAGAAGCACATTAAGGTGCTGGAGTGGCCTAGCCAGTCTCCAGACCTTAATCCCATAGAAAATCTGTGGAGGGAGCTGAAGGTTCGAGTTGCCAAACGTCAGCCTCGAAACCTTAATGACTTGGAGAAGATCTGCAAAGAGGAGTGGGACAAAATCCCTCCTGAGATGTGTGCAAACCTGGTGGCCAACTACAAGAAACGTCTGACCTCTGTGATTGCCAACAAGGGTTTTGCCCTAAATACAGTCATGTTTTGCAGAGGGGTCAAATACTTATTTCCCTCATTAAAATGCAAATCAATTTATACAATTTTTGACATGCGTTTTTCTGGATTTTTGTTGTTGTTATTATGTCTCTCACTGTTCAAATAAACCTACCATTAAAATTATAGACTGATCATGTCTTTGTCAGTGGGCAAACGTACAAAATCAGCAGTGGATCAAATACCTTTTTCCCTCACTGTATATCTTCTTAGAAACATTATTATAGGATGCGAATGTCAGGATTAAAACAGAATTCCTTATATTTATCTTGAAGAGTGGTTGGACATGCAATCAGTGTTTTATAAAGGTGGGTTCCACTGGCCCATATGGGACCTGGACCCCATGATATGATAAGATATATATACGTTTTTGTCTGCACTTTACAAATGCAATTGTCTATACTATTGTCTATAAACTATACACCATTAAAATATCAGTCAAGACAATATGATCATTTTGGAATGACCATTTCATTTTATTATTTTTTTTTGGTCATACATACAATACAATATTGTTACACATACTCCACCACATAGCATTTTCTCTGTTGGTTAAAATGATAGCTCCTACTCAACAGCAAAACAACATTTCATTCTGGGTTTGCTTTTATCAAGTGATAGTTACCTTGTGAGAACAAAGAATAAAGGATAATACATTACATTGAGAAGACAAAACCATTAATATTCACAAAGTGTTAGAAATAACAATTGCTATGTCGTCAAATAAGTATCATGAGAGGTTTTCAGATGCACTTGTGTTCGTGTCAGTTCAAGCGAAAATGAAAAAAAAAAAAAAATGTGTTATAACAATATTATATCACATTGAATCCAGTCCCGTGTCTCATAATGCTCACTTAGTCGTCCCCGAGGGTCTCCCTCTACGGCCGGATTTGCGTGTAAATACAAATGAAATACATGTCATACCAGACAACACAAGACACAGCCACATGCACTCTGGGAGAAGCTTAAGATTCATGTTTTGCTACTGTGTTTTGTGTTGTTTTCTACTCAGATGCATTTTTCAATGTGGAAAACATCAAAAGGACAGGAAGACTTCTAATAATAAAGCACATTTATATCAGAGAATAAAATAAACTGATGAATAAAACAGATCAGATATTTAAACATTTGAACAAAACATCAACCCTTCTCCAGACAGCGAGCATTTCAACAGATTAAGACGAATAATAAGCTATTTCTCTCATTCCTGTTTAGCTAAAGTATACTGATTGTATTTATTATATGCCTCATCATGCAATCTCTGTAAAAAGAAGATAAAATACTTATTGGGAAAAAAAAAAGAGAGCGATTTCAGTCTTTGGATAGGGTACAGAATAAATGGTGATGATATTAGCACAATACATTGAAGAGAGGAGGAGCCATTTGTAGGTAGCCATGTCCAGACGTATCCAAAAGTCAACGCACATTTTGGCTACACAAGTCCCTGCTGGTCATCTACATCCTTTAGGACAAGCACTCAAATTTGAGTTCCAGGCAGTAGATAGAGATGCAGGCAGAACTACTCGTTAGTTTCCTCCACTTTGCCAGTTGGCTCACACAAGCCTCGTTTCTGCATCATGGTGTAAGGGAAAGGGCCCACTTCGCAACTGGCATAGTCCAGTTTCTTGGCTCCGCCGCCGCAGTTACTGAAGTCTAGTTTCTTGGTACCGTCACAGCTCCCGTACTCCAGTTTCTTGAGCCGAGCCAGAGTCTTGATGCTACCAGGAGGCCTGCCAGGGCTAACCTTGTAGCCCGCCGCTTTGGTCGTACCCAGGGGCCTGCCGGGACTGGTCTTGAACCCCGCAGCTTTCGTGGTCCCCAACGGACGTCCGGTGCTTGTCCGGTAACCGGCTGACTTAGTCGTCCCCGAGGGTCTCCCTCTACGGCCGGATTTGACGACGCCTCCTTTCTTCTTCTTGGAGCTCTCTGGCCCAGTTGGAGCCTCACTGGCCCCTCGGATCCTCACTGTCTGAGGGTGGAACTCATTCTGGGTCTCTTGCTGCATTTGACAGGGCATGGGCTTGTGCATGCCATGTGGCAGAGGGGGTAAGTTAGGGAGAGGCAGCTGTAGAGTAGGGGGTGGGGGCGAAGGGTAGAATTTGTTGGATTGCGAGCTACATAAGTCGAAGTGGCTGGTTGGGTGTTGACATTCCTCTGCGAGGCCACTCATGCAATAGTCATTGCTGCTGCTAGTGACTTGGTGCATCATTTTCTGTTGAGAGGTACATAGGAAAGGGAAACAGGTTCAGAATCATTGAATTGGTATGTGTGACACAGAACTACGTGCATGAATGCACGCACGCACACACACACAAAATAAAAACCTAATTTGGTGATGCACATCACAACACTATGTGATAAATATGTTATAAAGTATCTATTCTATTTGCAACCATCTTGTCCAACATTAATTAGAACAGGCTATTGTTGCAAAACCATATAGGCGGTGCTAATGTAGTAGAGTCTCGCTATTATGCGTTTACAACCCAATAATACAACAGGCGTATAATGGGGCAATGGGCGCTACTATAATGCAATACAAGAAGAAAACTGCTGCATTTGCAAGTACATTTTGAGAACATATAAAACGAGAAAAACACAAACCTCATTTGTAGGCGGATCATGGAATGCAAAGGGTTAAATATGAAGCGGATAGATTTTCCATTCTTGACAGCCACAACATTATGATAAAAACGGATGCATTCTACGCCCTATATACCATGGATATTGACTTCATGCTGAATTACACTATGCGCCGGGTATTTCATGTTTATTTATTCTTCTAGGACAGAGGTTTAAATGAGAAAGGCAGCCATTTTAGTCTTCATTTTTTTTTTTTATAAAATAGGAGGGGCTCAAAGCGCATGCGCGCGAGACTTCAAGGAAACGGAGCTCTATAAAGGCATTCACGATAATAAAAAAAACATGGCATGTAATCCATCCATAATGCGATCAAGAATATAGGATATTATGCATTTTTGTTGTTAATCCTGGTTTTGAAATCGTGGACATTGTGTCCAGGAAATGAACGCAGATGTTTTAGAAACGGTCGTCACTAGTTACCACAGTCATAAACCACGCCTATTTCTACAATTTATCTTCTTCAAATGTTATTTTAAACCTAACATTAACCACATTGCTAACCTTATGCCTAACCCCAACCTTATAATGAGACTAAAAAGCTAATTTGTGTTTATGCATTTGTACGATATAGGCCATTTTGACTTTGTGGCTGGGGTAACTAGTGGAAACAGAGGTTTATGAATACTGTACTTTCAGTAGGTGGTAGTATAAGTACAGGATTAAAAACTTGCTTGATCTACTAAACCGTGTAATCTAACTAAAATTGACCTGACGTAAGTGGGAAAGCAATCTAATTTACAGAACTCACATCAGTTTTTCTGTAAAGTATGATATTGGACTGATTGTAATTTTAGGTAGGCTAATTAACTTGAAGCTTACGTGAGCTTACTCAGAAACGCTTTAATTAACTAGTATAGGCCTACTATTTATTTATTTTATCTCATACTTGTATAGCTTACTGGACTAATAGAGAGCTACTCTCAAGTTATCTTGTTGGGGCTGGTGACTCTTTGAACTTACAATGGCTAGCCCCATGTCATTATATATTTTTCTTGTGCTTTATGCTATTTGCCTCATGACTCCTGTGTGCTTTGTTGATTATGAACTTGCTTGTTTACCCAACCGTGGGACAGTCTGTTTGTTCCCACACTCGGGACTCTGACTCTCTATTGGTTACATAGACTCTTGGCCTCCCATCCTATTCTAACCACCTCTCGCCGGCTTTGTATTCATGTTACCTGATGAAATTGCTGTACAATATGATCTTGTTGCCATCTGATGCATATTCAAATGTCATAAAAAAACAATACTGCAGAGCTCCTCCCTGTCCTCGGCCGTGCCCTGATTGTATTACTGCTGATGATATCTGGAAATGTGCATGTACACCCTGGCCCATCTACTGTTGCTAGCCCCAATTCTTACTTGTGCTCTGATATCTGTTTCACTGATTTCTGCTCTCATAAAAGCCTGGGTTTTCTGCACGTTAACACTAGAAGCGTATTACCTAAAATGGATCAATTTAAAGTGTGGGTTCACAGCTCCAATCCAGATGTGTTGGTCATTACTGAGACGTGGTTAAGAAAGAGTGTTTTGAACACTGACGTTAACCTTTCTGGTTATAACCTTTTTCGGCAAGACAGATCTTCCAAAGGCGGTGGAGTAGAAATCTTTACCAAGGAACACCTTCAGTGCTTGGTTCTCTCCACCAAGTCTGTCCCCAAACAATTTGATTCTCTGGTTTTAAGCATTAAAACTTTCAAATAGCTCTTTGTTGACTGTTGCTGGGTGTTATCGTCCACCGTCAGCACCGGCCTGTACCCTACCTGCCCTAAGCTCTCTCCTGGCCCCTTACACTAAGTCTGAATTTGAAGGTTGAGAGCTTTTGTGAAAGAGCACAGTTAGAAAAATATGGCATATAGAAGCAAACCAGATGGACATCATGAAAATGATCGGAGGAAGTTCAGGAGTAAAAACAAATAAAATATAATTATTGTAGAATTTGACTGTGTCCATAAAATGTATATACTGTAGTATGTATGGGCTGGAAGTAGAGGCCTAAGCGTTGTTGTTCACTAGTTTACTCCAATTGGGGAAGGGGTGGTGGGGTTGGAAAGTAATGAAGGGAAATATCATTTAAAAAAGGATATGTGTATGGATGTATGTATATATGTATGTATATATATATATACACACACACAGTGGGGAGAACCAAGTATTTGATACACTGCCGATTTTGCAGGTTTTCCTACTTACAAAGCATGTAGAGGTCTGTAATTTTTATCATAGGTACACTTCAACTGTGAGAGACGGAATGTAAAACAAAAATCCAGAAAATCACATTGTATGATTTTTAAGTAATTAATTTGCATTTTATTGCATGACATACAGTGGGGGAAAAAAGTATTTAGTCAGCCACCAATTGTGCAAGTTCTCCCACTTAAAAAGATGAGAGAGGCCTGTAATTTTCATCATAGGTATACGTCAACTATGACAGACAAATTGAGAAAAAAAATCCAGAAAATCACATTGTAGGATTTTTTATGAATTTATTTGCAAATTATAGTGGAAAATAAGTATTTGGTCACCTACAAACAAGCAAGATATCTGGCTCTCACAGACCTGTAACTTCTTCTTTAAGAGGCTCCTCTGTCCTCCACTCGTTACCTGTATTAATGGCACCTGTTTGAATTTGTTATTAGTATAAAAGACACCTGTCCACAACCTCAAACAGTCACACTCCAAACTCCACTATGGCCAAGACCAAAGAGCTGTCAAAGGACACCAGAAACAAAAAATTGTAGACCTGCACCAGGCTGGGAAGACTGAATCTGCAATAGGTAAGCAGCTTGGTTTGAAGAAATCAACTGTGGGAGCAATTATTAGGAAATGGAAGACATACAAGACCACTGATAATCTCCCTCGATCTGGGGCTCCACGCAAGATCTCACCCCGTGGGGTCAAAATGATCACAAGAACGGTGAGCAAAAATCCCAGAACCACACGGGGGGACCTAGTGAATGACCTGCAGAGAGCTGGGACCAAGTAACAAAGCCTACCATCAGTAACACACTACGCCGCCAGGGACTCAAATCCTGCAGTGCCAGACGTGTCCCCCTGCTTAAGCCAGTACATGTCCAGGCCCGTCTGAAGTTTGCTAGAGTGCATTTGCGATTATTCGCAAATGGAAGAAACACAAAATAACTGTCAATCTCCCTCGGCCTGGGGCTCCATGCAAGATCTGACCTCGTGGAGTTGCAATGATCATGAGAACGGTGAGGAATCAGCCCAGAACTACACGGGAGGATCTTGTCAATGATCTCAAGGCAGCTGGGACCATAGTCACCAAGAAAACAATTGGTAACACACTACGCCGTGAAGGGCTGAAATCCTGCAGTGCCCGCAAGGTCCCCCTGCTCAAGAAAGCACATATACAGGGCCGTCTGAAGTTTGCCAATGAACATCTGAATGATTCAGAGGATAACTGGGTGAAAGTGTTGTGGTCAGATGAGACCAAAATCGAGCTCTTGGGCATCAACTCAACTCACCGTGTTTGGAGGAGGAGGAATGCTGCCTATGACCCCAAGAACACCATCCCCACCGTCAAACATGAAGGTGGAAACATTATGCTTTGGGGGTGTTTTTCTGCTAAGGGGACAGGACAACTTCCCCGCATCAAAGGGACGATGGACGGGGCCATGTACCGTCAAATCTTGGGTGAGAACCTCCTTCCCTCAGCCAGGGCATTGAAAATGGATCATTGCCAAGGCAACAAAGGAGTGGCTCAAGAAGAAGCAAATTAAGGTCCTGGAGTGGCCTAGCCAGTCTCCAGACCTTAATCCCATAGAAAATCTGTGGAGGGAGCTGAAGGTTCGAGTTGCCAAACGTCAGCCTCGAAACCTTAATGACTTGGAGAAGATCTGCAAAGAGGAGTGGGACAAAATCCCTCCTGAGATGTGTGCAAACCTGGTGGCCAACTACAAGAAACGTCTGACCTCTGTGATTGCCAACAAGGTTTTTGCCACCAAGTACTAAGTCATGTTTTGCAGAGGGGTCAAATACTTATTTCCCTCATTAAAATGCAAATCAATTTATAACATTTTTGACATGCGTTTTTCTGGATTTTTTTGTTGTTATTCTGTCTCTCACTGTTCAAATAAACCTACCATTAAAATTATAGACTTATCATGTCTTTGTCAGTGGGCAAATGTACAAAATCAGCAGGGGATCAAATACTTTTTTCCCTCACTATATATATATATATATATATATATATATATATATATTTGCAAGAAAAAAAACATGGCTGCCTCCCCTCCTTGTTCGGGCAGGTTTCGGCGTTCGTCGTCACCAGCTTACTAGCTACTGCCGATCCCATTCTCATCACTCCACTTGTCATGTCTTGTCAATCACACACACCTGGTGCTCATTCCCCTAATTAGTATGTGTATAAGTGTTCCCCTGTTCCCCTTGTCTTTGTGAGTGATTGTTTCATTGTGAGAGCAGGGAGCTCGGTTGAGCTACTCTTCCATTTGTTATTGCCAAGGTGGAATATTTCCCTTGTGATAGTTTCGTTTTGACGCTTGATGCGTTTTATTTATGTAAACAGAATAAACTCTGGACTTCTGT